AGTAGTATGTAGCTAGTATGAGTAGTAGTAGTAGTAGTAGTAGTAGTGGTAGTAGTTATAGTAGTAGTAGTAGTAGTAGTAGTAGTAGTAGTAGTAGCTAGTAGTAGTGTAGTAGTAGTAGTAGTTAGTAGTAGTTAGTAGTAGTAGTAGTAGTGAGAGTAGTAGTAGTAGTAGTAGTAGTAGTTAGTAGTAGTAGTAGTAGTAGTAGTCGTGGTAGTGGTAGGGTAGTGGTAGTGGTAGTGGAGGGGTAGTGAGTTGGTAGTGGTAGTGGTGGTGTAGTTGGTAGGGTAGTGGTAGTGGTATGGTTAGTGTTAGTGGCAGTGGTTTAGTGTAGTGGTAGTGGTAGTGGTTAGTGTAGTGGTCAGTGGTAGTGGCAGTGGTAGTGTAGTGGAAGTGTGTAGTTTAGTAGTAGTTAGTAGGTAGTAGAGTAGTAGTAGTAGTAGTAGTGTAGTAGTAGGAGTAGGAGTAGGAGTAGGAGTAGGAGTAGGAGTAGGAGTAGGAGTAGGAATAGGAGTAGGAGTAGGAGTAGGAGTAGGAGTCAAGCTAGCCAGCTCGAGCGAGTCAAGCATGGCATGCCCAGTCCCACCCGCCCTCCCACAACATAAGAAGCAAAGCTGGCACAACTGGGGCCGAAGTCACACCGGCCAGCCGGTTTGGTACAGCTGATGCGGCCGCGATGGCGGTTGCCGACGGGAACTGGCGAGCGCGTGTTGAATGCCGCGCACGCATTGCCAGACGAGTCGAGAATGGCCCGGTACACCGCAGGAAGCCAGAGGTGGCCGGAGGAAGCCCGACGGTCTGACAGGATACCCCGAAGCATTTTTGTGAAAAAGCATTGGGTTTTTGATGTTTTTATGTTGAAATGCTTGCAGACACACGGTGTTCGGTAGGATTCTGACATGAACGCGCGAGTGTGCTCTTTGTGGTATTTTTTTGCACAGGATTCGCGGCCTGGGTGCATGACAGAGCATCGCGAGTGCACCGCGCGATGACGTGAAATCGCTGGATTTGACAGAATTCTTAAGATTCCTATGGTTTTCCTATGATTTCAGCAAGAGAGCCCGGGCGGGAAATTTGTACAATTTTTGTGAAAAAAACATTGGGTTTTTGATGTTTTTATGTTGAAATGCTTGCAAACACACGGTGTTCGGTAGGATTCTGACATGAACGCGCGCGTGTGCTCTTTGTGGTATTTTTTGCAATGGATTATCGCCGTGGACGACAGGACGTCCATGTCGAGAGGAAAAAATAAGAAAAATGTTGATTTTGTATTGTTTTTTACAGGTTAGGATGGGACCCCCCGGATGCGGCCCCTAATGGCCGGCCTGAGGGGGGAGTAGGAGTATATTCTAATAAGGAATAAGGATAGGAGTAGGAGTCAAGCTAGCCAGCTCGAGCGAGTCAAGCATGGCATGCCCAGTCCCACCCGCCCTCCCACAACATAAGAAGCAAAGCTGGCACAACTGGGGGCCGAAGTCACACCGGCCAGCCGGTTTGGTACAGCTGATGCGGCCGCGATGGCGGTTGCCGACGGGAACTGGCGAGCGCGTGTTGAATGCCGCGCACGCATTGCCAGACGAGTCGAGAATGGCCCGGTACACCGCAGGAAGCCAGAGGTGGCCGGAGGAAGCCCGACGGTCTGACAGGACACCCCAAAGCATTTTTGTGAAAAAGCATTGGGTTTTTGATGTTTTTATGTTGAAATGCTTGCAAAAACACGGTATTCGGTAGGATTCTGACATGAACGCGCGAGTGTGCTCTTTGTAATATTTTTTGCACAGGATTCGCGGCCTGGGTGCATGACAGAGCATCGCGAATGCACCGCGCGATGACGTGAAATCGCTGGATTTGACCGAATTCTTAAAATTCCTATGGTTTTCCTATGATTTCAGCAAGAGAGCCCGGGCGGGAAATTTGTATAATTTTTTGTGAAAAAAAGCATTGGTATTTTGATGTTTTTATGTTGAAATGATTGCAAACACACGGTGTTCGGTAGGATTCTGACATGAACGCGCGCGTGTGCTCTTTGTGGTATTTTTTGCAATGGATTATCGCCGTGGACGACAGGACGTCCATGTCGAGAGGAAAAAATAAGAAAAATGTTGATTTTGTATTGTTTTTTACAGGTTAGGATGGGACCACCCGGATGCGCCCGCTATCTGCCGGCCTGAGGGGGGAGTAGGAGTATATTCTAATAAGGAATAAGGATAGGAGTAGGAGGAGGAGGAGGAGGAGGAGGAGGAGGAGGAGGAGGAGGAGGAAGAGGAGGGCGAGGAGGAAGGCGAGCAGGAGACGGAGGAGGAGGAGGGAGGCGGAGGAGGAGGAGGAGGAGGCGGAGGTGGTGGAACCCGCAAAAGGCTATATTTCCCAACCATCCTGTTGATGTGGGTCCTCGTTTTGAAGAGACGTCCTTCGCGTTCCTCCCCTCTCCCTCCTCCTCTCCTCCTCCTCCTCCTCCTCCTCCTCCTCTCCTCCTCCCCCTCCTCCTCCCGCTCCTCCCCCCTCTTCCCTGCGCTTCACCCACCCAGTACAGCGCTTCGTAGCCCCATAGGGAGCTCCACCGAAGGCCCCAGCGTTCGGGCAGGGCGTTGGCGGCATGGCGGCCTCGGGCCATTTCGGCACACCCCTCACGAGGATCGTGGCCCCATAGGGAGCTCCACCGAAGGCCCCAGTGGCAGCGTTCGCATGGCGGCCTCGGGCCATTTCGGCACACCCCTCACGAGGATCGTGGCCCCATAGGGAGCTCCACCGAAGGCCCCAGTGGCAGCGTTCGCATGGCGGCCTCGGGCCATTTCGGCACACCCCTCACGAGGATCGTGGCCCCATAGGGAGCTCCACCGAAGGCGCCAGTGGCAGGGTTCGCATGGCGGCCTCGGGCCATTCGGCACACCCCTCACGAGGATCGTGGCCCCATAGGGAGCTCCACCGAATGCGCCAGTGGCAGCGTTCGCATGGCGGCCTCGGACCATTTCGGCACACCCCTCACGAGGATCGTGGCCCCATAGGGAGCTCCAGCGAAGGCGCCAGTGGCAGCGTTCGCATGGCGGCCTCGGGCCATTTCGGCACACCCCTCACGAGGATCGTGGCCCCATAGGGAGCTCCACCGCAGGCCCCAGTGGCAGGGTTCGCATGGCGGCCTCGGGCCATTTCGGCACACCCCTCACGAGGATCGTAGCGGCAGGGTTCGCACGGCGGCCTCGGGCCATTTCGGCACACCCCCCACGAGGATCGTGGCCTTATAGGGGGCTCCACCGAAGACCCCCAGTGGCAGCGTTCGCATGGCAGCCTCGGGGCATTTCGGCACACCCCTCACGAGGATCGTGGCCCCATAGGGAGCTCCACCAAAGGCCCCCAGTGACTGGGTTCGCATGGCGGCCTCGGGCCATTTCGGCACACCCCTCACGAGGATCGTGGCCCTAAATGGGGGCTCCTCCGAAGACCCCCAGTGGCAGCGTTCGCATGGCAGCCTCGGGGCATTTCGGCACACCCCTCACGAGGATCGTGGCCCCATAGGGAGCTCCGCCGAAGGCGCCAGTGGCAGGGTTTGGACGGCGGCCTCGGGCCATTTCGGCTCACGAGGATCGTGGCCCCATAGGGAGCTCCACCGAAGGCGCCAGTGGCAGGGTTCGCACGGCGGCCTCGGGTCATTTCGGCACACCCCTCACGAGGATCGTGGCCCCATAGGGAGCTCCACCGCAGGCCCCAGTTGCAAGGTTCGCATGGCGGCCTCGGGCCACTGCGACACACCCCTCACGAGGATCGTGGCCCCATAGGAGCTCCAGCGAAGGCGCCAGTGGCAAGGTTCGCATGGCGGCCTCGGGCCATTTCGGCACACCCCTCACGAGGATCGTGGCCCCATAGGAGCTCCAGCGAAGGCGCCAGTGGCAAGGTTCGCATGGCGGCCTCGGGCCATTGCGGCACACCCTTCACGAGGATCGTGGCCCCATGGATGTGTTGCTTCAACAACCGCGCCTGGGCGTCGTACTCCGTCGTGTCGACGTGCAACGCCACCTCCTCCCTCATGGCTGTCATAGCCCTCTTCTGCTTTTGCGCCTCGGTCAGAGGTACGCCGTCCGTGTCGTCGTCGGCGCCCGCGAGGACGGCCACGGACGTGTTCCTGAGCATATCGGGTTCCGGCGGGAAGCTGTGGCCACATAGGGAGCGCGGGCAAAGATGGTTTTCACAATTGCGGTATTCACAATTGCAGATGGTTGGGTCCTTCGCCAGGCTAATTTTCGTAATCCGCCACAGAATGCTTGCATGACCCGCCAGAAAAAAGGAACCTTATTAGGGAGCCGCCGCGGCAAGGACTTCTATGCAATCTGGATGAGGGTGTGCATTTGTTTGTTGTTTCCCTCTCCCCTCGGAGGTGGAGTTGTTTCTCTGATATTTCCATGCGCAGGCCGAGTTTTCAATACTCGTCATGCTTTCCTGGTTTTCCACGGTCTCGTCCTGGGACGGGGGGCGGGGGCTGCGGGGCGAAAAGGCAAATTAACAGGAACGAAATACGGCAATATGGCAACACCCGCTTTGCACAAGGAAACATATGAAGCCATTTGTCCGCTTCCTAGGGATGATAAAGGACAACTGGGAAAACAAAACAGATGAGACGAGATGAGGAGGAGCAGAGGAGCAGGTGGATGAGGAGGGGGAAGAGGAGAGAGAGAGAGGATGATAAGGAAGAGGATAATGAGGGAGTGGAGCAAGAGAGAGAGAGAGACAGACAGAGACAGAGACAGAGAGAAGGAGAGAAGGATAGAGAGAGAAGAGAGAGAGAGAGAGACAGGGTGAGTGAGAGAGGGAGAAAGACACAACGATATCAGAAAAGATGATAAACAACATAGCACATTGCATGTACGCTCTTAGGGGGAGCCCTGTATACATATGTGCGTGTGTGCGGTCATGTGTTCGTGTTCCCTCACATACGTATGTACACACCGATCTTCTACCCTTATGTCTTTGTGCGTCGATGTGCACTTCCTGCTAGCACACCCGCGGAGGTCGACGGTGAAGCTTGGCGATTTTGGCATCTGCCGTGTTTTGGAGGTGCCTGTTCTGTTTCGCACCGTGACCGTATCACACGTCAGCAACAGTCGTCGGACGGAGACACGAGAGTTGAAAGATTTGGGGCCTGAAGGTTGCAGTAGCGGCAGGATGCCCAGAGCAGGGAGGGGCGCGAGGGCAGAGTTGATCGCCAGCCTTGGCTGGTGTGTTCGCCGCCGCTAGCTTTTTCGAATCTGCTGGCTGGAATATGGAATCGATTTTGTGGAGACAAGCGAGGATTATGATGTTACGTCTAGCGGTGCTGCTCACTAGCCTCTCTGTGTGACTCTTGGTGGCTCCAGAAAGTGCCTCGCCTTCGGCGTATCTCACCTTCTATGGAAGCTGGCGGACGCAGGCGGCAGCAAAGCAGCGGTGGCTCCGCCGGCGCGAAGCGGCGGAAGTAGACGTGAGACATCAACACGTGTGTTCCTTGAATCGGTCATGTGGCGTCACCGTGCTAATCGATCCGCTGCGGGGTATCTTCTGGTGCCATTACGCTTACCCCACGCCCCGTCTAGTTTGTTTGTCAACCGCTGGAATAGCTCACAGAGCTTCCGGAACATTTTTGGGAAATTGCGAAGGTTGCTGAACACCTCCGCAAACCTTCGGAGAGCCCCCTCCCCCCTCTCCAGGGGGGAGAACGGTCACCATTACAACCACCAAAATGGTGGCGGCGTAAAGGGGTAGCAACAGCCGACACCTTTTCGGGAGCTTACGTGGCGTATCCCAAGCAATTGAATCCCACAAGGAAGCAGCTCCCTGTCTATTCTTCCCTCCTTTCTGCGCCGAAGGGGAGCACAGACATTGCCAACACGCTCGTCGGCACCCCGTACTACATGAGCCCAGAGGCTGGAAGCCTGCGTGCCATGGGAGCTGGGCGCGGCCGTCCTTGCGTTGGGCAGCCCTTTCGGTGGCTACATCCAACTCTCCCCATATGCTCCCGCCTCCTCCAGGCTCAGTCTTTTCCGCGCAGGTTGCACAGCATTGGCCGCCCCTAAAGTGATTGGCAGAGTTCCCTTGGGCGTCCCCCTCCCAATAAAGTAGTGATTTCAGTGAGCCTCGGGATGGAGGTCAAGTCACTCAGCTACAGTCTCTGCGAACGAAGAAAGCGCCAATCAGCCATCAGCTGGCACCATGATTATGTTTTCGCCTATCGGCCAGCGTACTTTCATCGCTTTGGTTTCGTATTAAATGTGCTGGAACAGGTGTGGCACCCCAGGTGTCCAGGTGGCGACGAAATGTGGTGCTGTTGGCGTCAGCGCCGTAGGGATGGTAATTCCCACAAGATGCTCTCAGAGCAGAAGAGAAATTAGTTGTGCCAAAATTGGTGGCGTGTCTTGGGATGCTTCCTTTGATGGCGATGGGGGGCATGCTTTTCGATTTCGCAGCACGCGCTTGGGATAGTGAGAACGAGATTGTCGAGGATACTTGTGCATTCCTTTCCCAGATGTTAGTTGCCTTGTCAGTATCATCTCCAGACCGCCCCTATTTTTGTAACTCCATTCGCAACCCGTGAGTCCCTCCCTCACCGCGAATCGATCTGACATGTTGAGTCCCCCTGGCGGAGCTGACGAATCGTATTGAGTTGCCGCCGTGGTTTTGTGTTGCCTTTTCCGAATTGCCCCAGCAAGTGTTCAGGTAGCAGACTTTCCGTGTCAACTTGCTCCCACGAAAGAGGATTGATGTGCGGTTTTTGGCGCGTTTCCATCCTTGGAGGAGCTCCTCCCCCCCAGCATCATACTGCTCTCCTTCCTTATCCTTCCTCCCCTGCTCCTACCTCTCCAACTCATTCCTTCTCCTACCTCATCCCCCTCCTCGCTCCTTCTCGCCCCCTTTCCTCAACTCCCTCTTCTCCTCCTGTTGCAACGGGGTGTCAACATCGCTTGTCTTTCCCAGAGGAGTAGGACAAGAATGCGCAGTGCACGGAAAATCAAATTCTGCTCCCCGACGTTTACAGGTGTGCTCGAACACGCCCTACAGCTACAAGTCTGACATCTGGTGCGCAGTTGCCAATAGTGCAATTGAGATTGAGGAGGCCGTTGGTCAGGATTGCGTTCTGTCGACGGGTAAGAGTTTGCAGGCAGCGGGGTAAAGGGCATGAGTAGAAGGCGGGGCTGCGCAGGTATAGGAACAAGCGTTGCGCGATCTGAAGCAGCCTATTTCGTGCACGTCGACTTCGTATATTACGTATTGCTATTCCTAAACAGAGCCTCATACACGTAGCCAATTTGGAGAAAGTGTGAACTTCGCCACCTTCATGCCTCAAGGGTTTAAGGACTCCTTAGTTCCGGTTCATCCGAGAGTCGGCAAATTGTCGAATCTGTCCTGAATTCTTTAGTTACAGGCGCCACTGGTTGTCGCCGACTGGGGCAATGCATTTGACGTCTACTGGGCTCAGCGCCAGAAGTGTTGCAGGAACGATTTAACGCAGACCGCCATCGCGTTCCGAGAAAGATGCTTGCAATCGTGCGCTCGCCTGGAGGCGCACGCCGAGCAAGGGCTTCTTCTGGGCCGCGGTCCTCTTTGTATTCGATTTGGTGTGGCCCTCGATTGATTTCTGCGGTTCGCGGGCCATCGTGCTCCAGAAAGATGGCGACGACTTGGCAGACCAGGAGGGGACAGTTTTGAATGAAACACTCCCGTTTAGCTAAGATACGCTTGTTGGTGGACACATTTTCGCTCTAGCGAAGTGCCCATTCGCATGCGTGTGCATATTGGTCGCCCATGCCTGCCGCTGACCCAGGGTCCCAGGACTCTCGCTTGAACCCACGTGCCATATGAATGTGCGTAGTTTATTGTGTCCGCATGCACAGGACATTCACTGACCCGCGAGTGGTCCACCACTCCGACTTGGAACAGACAGCATTTGTCTCCACGTTCACGCCGTGGCCTGTGTGTTATTTTACCTTTGCGCTGGCTTAGCGGCGCCCCGACGGGCTCGTGCATTCACAATCGGTTGCCTGCGAAGAAGTGCGCGTACCAGCGAATCGGTACCAGCCAATCGGGCACTAGCAAATCGGGTGCTACAACGCCCGAGAGGCCCTGGATGATTGAGGCGGCATTCTCGCGAGAAAGCCACTCGACCAAGAGGCCACCGCGAGCAAAACGAACATCCAGGAACGGAGATGGCCATGGAAATGGGTGCCAGGCTAATTCAACGCACCCGGATTCCAACGCCCACGCAACGAAGGATCATCCGTGTTATTGCTTCAACAGGTTGAGAGCGGTGCTGTGAAAGTTCGGTTGTTATGTGGACCGCCATCATTGTGATTAGCGATGGTTTCTTCGTGTCCACGTTGTGCGTGGGAGAATACAGACATGGGGTCAGTGAGCCTCCAGTGGCTCCGTGCTTCCTTTGCATCTGAAAGTGGAAGCATGAAGGTCAACGATAAGACCAGACAGCGCAAGAATGACAAAGTGTCCGCTACGACACCAAGAACATGTAAAGAAAGTTATGAACATCCAGAACCCCAGTCAGTACGGTTGGTGCGTGCCGCGTTGACGCCCAGTGGCCTGAAATTGGCCGATATCGAGAGATTTGCGTTCTTGAAAAGTTGCGACGGTTAAGGCTGAACGATCCACGCGGTGTGGCAGAGGAGGAGGAGGAGGAGGAGGAGGGGGCGATCAGAGGAGGAGCAGCGCTCACAAGGGGAGCAGTTGGAACCTGCAGGAAATGACAAGTGGAGAGGGGGTGGAGCGGGCTTCTCCTTCTTCTTGCGCCCTCCGTCCGGCACGCCTCCAGCCGGGGTGCAGAGCAGCTCCACAGATGTAGTGTCGCAGGTCATTGGGTTGCGTCCTCTACGAGCTCTGCGTGCTCAAGCACGCATTCGAGCACGCGACGCTTCAGGGCCGCACAGGGAGGAGAAGGAGGAGGATGGAGACCAGTGTAAACCCAAGACGGATCAAAGACGTTGCAGTAAACCCTTCCTCCAAGTTCCCACTTCACAGGTCCTACTTCAAGTGCCCAATTTGAAGACCAGTCGTGCCGAAACACCATTCCTGGGACTTCACCGCCGCGAATCAACGTGACTGTTTCGTCCCGGCAATCCTAAATTGCACCTAGCACCATTCCTCGGACTTCAGGACCACGAATCCACGTGACCGCTGGGCCATGACAAGCCTACATCGTGCCAGAACGCCGTTCCTGAGACTCTAACCATACGAATCCTTGAAGCTGCTCTAATCGTTCAAGACGAATGTGCCGGCCAGTGCCTCAACGGCCAGCCGCTTCCCAGTGACGTCCCCGGCGGCCAGGCCCTGCCGTTTTTCCAGGACGGGGAGGCCACCAGCAGGCCCACGTGTCGCCGCGAGCTTCGAGCCCAAGCTTACGCGTGTCCACCCCCCCTTTGCACCCCCTTTGGGTCCCAGCCCCCAGCGGTGCTGAACCAGGCTGGAAAGGCTTGGGGGCCGTTCGCAACTCCAGGGGCCTGGCCGGAATTGCGGCTGGAATTGCAGCCGGAGTTGCAGTCGGACTTGCAAACGCAATTGAATACGGAATTGTCGCCAGCGCTTGAGCGTGAGCCCAAATCAGCGAATTTGAGTTTGCCTTGCAATCCCGCCTGCAACTCCGCCTGTGCTGTGCGCGTGCGCGGGTCTCCCCTGAGACAGCTCTGTCACTCGGGCCCCTATTGTCTCCTCGTCGCTCCCAAGGGCCCCCTCAGGGCCTCCCCCCGAAGGGAACTTCCGACGGAGTGTTTGAAACCAGCTCCGCAGACAGCGCGGTGACGTGTACCCAGCTGGCCTTCGGTGACCGTCTGGGTTCCCCAGGAGCCCGCTCTCTTTATCCCTTCCTCTGATCCCCCTTCGCCCGCTGCCTGCTTAAACCTTGTCCTTCCCCCCCACCATCCAGCGAGCTCACCATTTGGCGATTGCCACTCAAGTTTCTCGTTCGAATCGGCAAAAGCCACCACGTTGGCGGGCACTCTTTTCGGCCTCGTTGCGCACCCAGACCGTGCCAGATGAGATGTCTGCCCTCATAGCTCGGCGAATCCGAACTCTCTGTCCTGAGCTCCCCCCGCTCCCTGCTCACACTCTTCTTCAGCGATGGTGCCGATTGAAACGCTTCCTTGCCCGTGTCCCGCGCTCCCACGCCTGGCCTCGCGTTAAGTCTTTGGCGGGCGCGTGAAAAACTAGCGGGAGGGTGAAGATACGGCCGCAGGCCCCATGCAGGTTCGGCTGAGCTGACCAGCCAGATGCCCAGATACATTACTTACTGTGTCCACGGTTCTGGGCCGCCACCGACCTCCTTGGACCTCCCCCTCTCCTGAGCCTCCGTTACGCTTGGGGTTGGGGGACCTCGGGGAATACAATGAAGGGGATGTCGGCTGGGTGCGGGCTCATAGAGCCTTAGTTCTGTCTTAGCACATATACCACAAGCTTCGGCCCCACCTGGGAGCTGCGCCGGTTATCTCTGACGCTATGCTCTATCAGGCCCGCAGCGTATTTCGCGCTGCGCTCAACATGTGACGAACGAACACGACCCCCCAATGTGACGTGCTTTCCTCCTCCCCCATTTTCCTTCTCCTCCTCCTCCTCCTCTTCCTCCTCCTCCTCCTCCTCCTCCTCCTCTCATTCTCAACCTCTTCTGGACGACGCCCCGCACTTTGAGGGAGGGGGCCGTTACACCTCCACCTTCTGCCTCCCCCTCCTCACCCGACTCTCCCCCATCCTTTTGGGGTTCCCGCGCCTCTGGGACCATTTTCCCTCCTCCTCCTCCTCCTCCTCCTCCTCCTCTTCCTTATTATCCTTTTCCTCCTCCTCCTCCTCCTTCCGTAGCCATTTTGGCTCAAGGCTTATGCATTGGCGGGCTGAGCCCGCATTTGCTTTCACGGATACCGCTAGTCCGCGGCAGAGCCAGGGCGCTCGCGCCCGACAGTTTTTCATTCAGCCAGTATTTCAGGGGCTCGCTGGCGGGCCAGTCGATCAGCAAAGACGTCGCCATGGCACTAGCGCCATGGAACCAGGAGGCCAAGGCAGATTGGATTTGCAAATTCTGTACGTTTCGTCGCAGTGGTGCTCCTCTCATCAATTACGGAGTCAATGAGAAGTGCTACACGTGCAAGCTGCACAAGGACGTGGTATTCAAATGCATCGTTCCTGTCGACCTCCCCAGCTGGAACAAGCGCAAGGCTGACGGCAGCAGCTCGGCCTCAGCAGTGGCAAAGTTGGAGAAGCGCTTGCAGCAGCTGGAGGCAGAAAACGCCAAGCTGCGTAACCGACCCGCGGACGCAGGGGGTGAAGCAGCGTTGGAGTCGAACGAGTCAGAAGAATTACGTGAGGAGATCGACGGTTTGGTCAAGCATGTGCAGTGGCTGGAGTCAACTCGGGCCGCTTGGGCAGCTCTGCCGCTCAAGGTTGCCCGCGAACAGCTCGAGCCTGCCCGCCGCAAGCTGCACGAGAACAAACATTTGCCTGCGAAGCTCGCGGCACTCTCGCGCAGAGCTGAGCAGGCCCGGCAGCGGCTCCAGAAGGCCGTGCAGGACAAGGTCGAGTTGGATAAGGCGCTGCTCAAGGCCCAGGAAGCGGCAAAGGCAGGGGCTGAGCTGGTCGTGGAGCGCCAGCAAGTGCGCCAACAGCTCGAACAAGAAGTGCGGGCTCTCACCTCGCAGCTAGAGACGCAGAGCCAGCAGTCCATGGACCTCACGGGGCCAGAGATCAAGGTGGACGAGCCCAAGTTGCTGGAATGCCTCGGCAGCATGGAGGGAGTTGCGGATGCCAGCAAGTTGGCGCCTGTGCTGGCGGAGGCGCTCAAGTCTCGCGCTGCTGAGTTGCTCGCGGAGCCGCCCGAGAAGAAGCATCGCACGCAGGAGGTGGGCCCGCAAGGGTACCAGCAGCCTGGAATTTTGAGGACATCGAAGTGGAGCAGCTGCGGGAGGACGTGGCTGGCTTCGCGGCTGACAACGCGGGGGAATCTGACCTTCGCTCGAAGGCCCGCTTGCTGGCAGCAGGAGGGTTCCGACCCAAGAGTCTACATAATCTGAATGATTGATGGCCCCTCGTGTTCTTAAGTGCGGTTAAATGGGGCAGCCTTTACACAATCACACGGTCAGTAACATATGGTGGCCGAGCCTTCCCCGACGACGATTGCCTTCGCCTCTGCGAGTATCGAGAAGGTGAAGAAGTCGGAAAAGCTTTGTCTGTTCCATTCAGAGTCGGACGACTGGCAGGGGAAGATGAAGCTCAGCCAGGCGCTGGTGAGCCAGAAGAGCCCATTCCTGCTCCTGGTTTGGTTTCGCCAGCTCGGATTTCGACGGCTATATCAAAGTTGCAGTGGGCAGGCGGCAAGCAGCCGATCCAGTCCTTGGGAGTGGGCGCGGAGTTCACCGTCGTCTGCTACACGTCCAACTCGCGGGATACGGCCCAGTCGTTCATGGAATGGTGCGTGCTCGACCAGAAGCTCCAGGCATACATCTTCCTGCTGCAGGAGCTGCGCCTCGCGGCGGGCGAGCAGATTCGGCGCGGCCAGGCTTGGGCCCGACAGAGGGGCTACCGCCTGGAGGCATCGCCGCGTGAGATCACAGGCAGCGCGGTGCTGTCAACGTCGAGTGGGGTAGGGCTATGCACGCGCGCACACGTTCCTTTTGCGGAATACAAGCCTGCCTGCGCTTGCCCAAAGAGCAGGCTAAAGTTTCAGCGCGCGGTCCTCGGCGATATGCAAATCCTCTTCGGGTCGGTTTACGTGGAGGTAGGGGTGGGCCTCCGTGGGAACGCTGAGCTCTTGGGAGCTCTTGTTGAGGCCGCGCGGGCCTCTTGCCTGCCTTTTCTGCATCGCTGGGGATAGGAATTGAGCAGCTGAACTCTTTGGCACGGACAGTTCTCCCCGCACGGGGCTTCTCCATCTGCTGCGTGCCGAAGTTGCGCAGGCAGGGGGGCCCACGTGCAATGACAGTTGCATAGGTTTCTGCGTGATCAGCAATGCGTTGCCCCCCTTGGTTCGAGACGTCAGTCTTCGGGGGGGCGCCCAAGCGGGGCCCCGCAAAGCGGCCGTTCTTCGGATGTCGGGGATAGGGGGCCACGCTTTCATTTACAGGCGAATTCAGCCCGAGGCTTTCAGACCCCCCAAGAAAGGGGATGCGCTTGTCCCTGGGGGTGTCTCGGGGCGGCCAGGATTTGAGTTGTTTGAAGGGGGGGGGGGGGGGCAGTCTCTTGCGCGCAGGTGGTTCACCTCAGCTGAGCTTCTTCTTGGCGTGCACACAGCGAATCGTTTGCACGACAGGCCGCGTTGCTGCGGTCGAGCTGCTGGGTGCCGTTTGGCAAAAGTGCCTCTCTCCTGCGCGCGGGGATAAAGTGTCCGTCGGAAGGCCAGTGCAGATACTCAGAAATGGCTGACCCTCAGAAGGGCCACGATGCAGTGGCTGCGCGCAAGACCCCACCGCTCCCGGCAAGGCGGCTGCAATCAGCAGCGCTGTTGCACGCATGGGGGGGGGGGGGGGGGGGGGGGGGGGGCGCCTGGGCGGGTTCGGCGGGGGGGGGTTCGATTCAAGTTAATGTGTCAACAACCTCGCATGCCGCGTTCCTTGCCCGTCTTGAGAATCCCGACACCCGGGTGGCGGTTCGCGACTTGCTGCAGTCACGTTTGCAGCAGCAGACAAGAACGGATGCGTCGGCGGCGAGGCAGCCTTGGAATGAATTTTCGGAGCTAGCGTTCCAGAGAGGGGGTGGCATTGCTCACGAGCACGCGAAGGGTCCGCAGGGCAATTCCGAACCTGCGCTCGCTGACCCCTTACCCGTTGTCGGGCATGAGGCCTTGAAGGCCATGCTGGGTACCTGGGTTTCGCTTTGGAAGCTGTCGTCCAGGAGCCATGGGTCCCGCCCCCTCTCCTGGGGCGTTTCAGGCGCGGCCCCCCTTCCAGACGCAGGGGCGGTAGCTGTCAGAGCGGCTCCGCAGACATGTCGGCCAAACACGGGCTTGGATGGGATTCCTTCCGCCCTAGGTGGGTAGACAAGCTACCTGAAGATCTGGTCGCGGCCCTGGTTACGATTGCACACAGGTGGGAGTCTGAGCCAGGGCTAACTGACATCTGGACCATTCCAATTGTCCTCCCCCCCCCCCCCCCCCCCCCCCCCAAAGCTTCAAGGGGGAAACGGCCGATAGGCCTGCTACCGCTGTCTGCTCGAGCATGGTCCAGGTTTAGAAAGAAACAGGTTCCCAAATGGGGGTCCAAGTTGCCTGATTGATTTTTCTGGGCGGCCTCCAGTGAGACCTCGCGTGGCAAGTCGGCGTGGGTTCATGGTGCCATTGCTGCGGTGGCTCCCCAGTTAGGCCTTGTCAATTGTAGTGCCTCTGTTGACACCTGGAAGTTTTATGAAATGGTCAGCCATCGGGAGCTCCTGTGCGCGGCCAGAGACGCGGATTTTCCCTAGCCTTCCTGAGGCCCCTGCGTGCTCTGCACAGAGGGCCCCGTAGGGCCGCGCATCAACAATCGATATCAGACGGCCTAAACGCGAAAGGGCCCATCGTTGCGGGGTGCTCTTGCGCCACGGGACTCGCGAAGCTGATGACCATGACGACGTTGGGGAGCATGGGGGCGGAGTTGAACCTGTTCAGAATCAAGAACTCAATTGGTGATATCAGTCTCCACGTGGTAGGTGGCCCGGCTCAAGTCCAAGCCCGGGCCATCGAGGGCGTGACCATGCTTATCGAAGGCACGGAGTACCGCAAGCTTCCAACCTCTTGGGACAAGCGCGGCACCTCATGCAGTGACGAGGCTGGTTTCCAGAAGGTCAGAGCCAACATTCGAAATTTATGGCCTGGCGATGTCCCTTCCCTTGCCAGGGAAGCCTTCACCGAGACTTGGGAGGTGGCGCTATTGACGGAAGGATGAGGAGGATTAGCTCCCAGGCCCCGAGGATTTCAGAGGCTCTTCAGCGAAGGGTCCGCCTGAAAGCACGTCAGGGCCTAGGTCGACAGAAATCAGCTGTGCATCGTGCTGGGGTTCTGGCCAAGTCTCCCTGGGGCTCCAGCGTTCACGGGATGGCGAGTTTTAGAATGCGGACGCTACGCATGTCGTACTTGAACGCTTCCAAGTACAAGCCAGGCGCGTCTGTCGGCCCCTCGCTGCCCGCGGCAGAGTGCGGATGGCAGCAGGATCCCCGGGTCATTGCGACGGTGGACGCAGTCCACACCTTCGCTGTTGCGATAGATTCGCAGGCCGTCACATGGATGGTCGTGGAAAAGCTGCTCAATGAAGCAAGACCGCTGCTCCTGGACCCGCAACGCTGGGCCATGTGTAAAAACCCGATCGCCGCGCTCCCCCTCTCGCTCCACAGGATTGGGTGCTCTTGGGTGGATACTTACACGATCAGGGATGATGGTGGGCAGCTCTGGGATTTCAGGAACACGCCGCCCGCCCTCCTTAGCGTGCTGGTCAAGCACGGGGCTTGGAGGTGCATTGACATGGAGGCCCTCCACATGCTCTTGGCAAGACATCCTGGAGTCCCTCAAGGCCTCCTCTCGTGCACCCCCATGAACGGGGTCCTCCACTCGAAGAGAAGTAAGCTGCCCCAGAGGCAGAGGAGGTCCCTTAGGGGCCTATGCTCTGGGGCGCAGTGGCGCCAGTAGAGGGCATCGAAGGCCTTCAGCGGGGAACCTGAGGTTTGCCTGAGGTGTCAAGGCCTACCAGGCACGTTTTACCACCGTCTTTTCGAGTGCGACGCCTTCTACTACTTCAGGCAGGAGCGGCTCCCGATGGAGCTCAGGAGCCCAGTGGCAAAGATGAAGACGGCACCGACGGCGCTCCAGGAATTATTTGCGGGGGCCTTCTCCCTGACCCTGCTCGAGCCTTGCGCATATCCGTACAGAAACCCAGCACGCCACTTTAATGACATGGACAGTGAAGGCATCGTGCATGTGGAAGGCGGACTCGTCTTCGCAGATGGGAGTGGGTTCTGCACGGACATCCCGTGCATGAGGAGTGCTGGATGGGCGGCAGTGGCGCGCGACAAAGAGAGGAGGCGCATTGCCAGATATTTCGGAGCAGTGCTGTGCGATTTCTGCCCACAGCAAGTTGCGAAGTGCGGAGAGGATTGCGCGATGCTTATCGTAAGCAGACAGGCGATGGGCACATGCGCTTTTACCGGACTGCAATGGGTACGCTGTCATACTGTCGGTCCCCCAGCCTGGTGGTTGGGCCCGGCAATGCCAGAGCAAATGCGTGGAAGCTTGTGGGACAGACTGAAGTTGTTCACCAGCAGCAGTTCAAACATGTAAAAGTGCATGGCCCCCCCAACGACGCGATCGAAGGGGTGCTCTCAGATTTCGAGAAGACGGGCAACAAACACTACGGCATATGAGCTGGCGAAGAGAGGCGCAGCATACAACATGCCAGAGGATGTGCGCGTGGAGTTTGTTCGTGGATGCAGAAGGCTGCGCAGGAAGCTATTGCATCACCTTGGCAGTTGTCAGGCTTGGTTGCATGAGTCAAATCCTGAAGGCCTGGTTTATCATTTTCCCATGGACAGAAGTTGTTGGCATAGACTAGTCGCAGTCTGCTCCCCAGACCTCGTCGGGCATGGAGCCGATGTGCGAGCTAGCATTGGAAGATGAACTGGATGGTTTTCTGGAGCCGTGGTTTTTTGCCAACCACAGCACAATGGAATATCCAATGGTGGGCTCGCCTCATTTGATTTTATTATGTTCGAATTGCTGTCAGTACTTCTGCTCGGACTCAAAGAACCATCGAGGCCTGGCGCAGAGGCGCAGAGGCAAGCACGGCGGAGGCAGGGAGGTCGAGAACCGCAGGCACCTGGACAATCTGAGACATCCCCAGTCCATACGTGCTGTGGTACGCCTTGAGTCTCCGCGGTCGCCATCGGGCCTCGCCAGAGACCTGGTCCGAGCTGCGAAGAAGTGGGAGCAAGAGGAGAAGGTTCACTCGACGCAGACTCCAGCGAAGAAGCAGAGGCTCCTTGACACATCAAAGATTATCCTAGCATGCGGCCTGGAATTTCGCGGTGGAGCTAGGACGCGTTGCCGAGGACGATGGCGAAGACCAGGAGTCGGAGTGACAGCCCACGATGGGAGGGAGCTCCCCAAGGGCGACTATCAGTATTGAGTGAGGTCTGGATGTGGTGTTCGACCCTCGCGGGCCTCATTAATTCGTTTTGCTTTATTTGCTTGCCATGGGCAGGCTCGGTTGGGCCCTGCCCTGGCATTGCACTAATTCGTCGCGGCGTTTGGCGACGTCCGCCCGAGGGCCTTGGGTTGCAGCGCTGGCTCTTGAACCCTCCAAGTGGCGGGCGCGCCGATGGGCGACGTCCGTCCGAGGGCCACGGGTTGCAGCATCGCTGGCTCTTGGACCCTCGACGTGGCGGGCGCGCCCGGCCTGTTTGCCGAGCGGCTCGAACGTGGTGATGTGTGACCGCGCCACGCTCTCTTTCCACGTGTGCTTCAGTGGCGTGGCCCTCGTGCTGCACCGCGTGTGGAAGGGCTCCCCGCTCGTGGCGCTGGGAGCCCTGTGGGTGCTCTTCGCCGCCGCGGCGGGCTTCGTGCTGGTGAGCACGGGCCTGCCGCAGGCTCCGTGCACCCTGGCCGCCCGCGCGGCCTGCTTCGGGATAAGCATGCCCCTCGCTCCCCTCCCTGGTGTTTGCAAGGTGGTCCCGGCCTTCGGGCTCCACCGTGTAGGTGCTGGGGCGGGGGGGTGAGGTGTGTGCCTGCCTCCTCTCTGCTGTGGATCCAGCTGCCCCTCGGCTTCCGCTCGCTCGCTCCTCCTCCTCCTCCTTCTCCTCCTCCTCCTCCTATTCCTCCTCCTCCTCCTCCTCCTCCCTCCTCCTCCTCCTCCTCCTCATCATCATCATCATCATCATCCCTCCTCCCCCCCCCCCCGCTTCCTGCTTGAGATTGTAGAAGCCAGTGGAGCCGGTGGGCGGCCAGGCCTGGTCTCCAGGATCAAGTCGGGCGTGTACGAGCCGATCCCGGCGTGCTACTCGGAGGCGGGCCCCTGGGGTCGGAAGCCCCCAAACGGCACGATGACCACGCCGCCCAGTGAGCCACTGCGATTCGAAGTCAGCGGGCCGTTTCGGGTGTTGGGGGCCGTAATCCGCGGACCCTGGAGATTTCGACGTCACCACGCCCGGTCTGTCATCGCGCCGCCTTGGGGCCACAAAATTTGACCGGCCCCCCGCTGATTATTACGGAGCCACACGGGTGACGCTTAGCACGACGTGCAATGTCGCAGTTAAGAAAGGGATTCTTGGAGAAAAAAAGGCCTCAAGTTCCCGAATTGGGTTTTGCCTGAGAGGTTCTTACTTCTTCGTGGAAGAAACCGGCGGGGCATTACTTGGGGATTTCTGGGGTTGTTCGTTGTTTTCCGTGTGTTCTTTGCATGTGAGAGGTGCGTTGCCCAGTATTGCCCGGGCAATGCCAAGCAATCTGCCCGGGGTTGCCTGAAGTTGCCCGTGCAATTCCAAGCAGCGCCAAGCAATGCCAATCAATGTGCAGCAACGATTTTAGCAATGCCAAGTAGCGCAAAGCCAATGCCAAGCAATGCCCAGCAACGCCCTCAACTTTCTCTTCCCTCTTCCCAGTCCTCCAGTGTGGTGAGCCTCGTGTTGAACCCGCAGCGCCTCGTTTCTCTACCTTCCCTCCTTCCTTCTATGTTTCCTCCTCCCATACGTTTTCTTCCCTTCCTCCTCCCTCATTCGTTGCGTGACCCCATAGGAAGCTCCACCGAAGGCCCCAGTGACAGGGTCCACAAGGCGCCCCGCCTCATTTCGGCACACCCCTCACACGCATCGTGTCCGCATAAGGAATAGGAAGCTTCACGCGTTCCGTGACCCGATACGGAGCTCCACCAGAGGCCTCAGTGGTTGCGCTCGCATGGCGCCCTGCCTCGGACTGTATTTCGGCACACCCCTCGCACGTTTCGTGGCCCCATTGGACGTCCCCCCGATGGCCCCAGGGGCATGGCTCGCATGGCGCCCCACTAACGTTGGGCACACCGCTCACACTCGTCGTGGCCCCATCGAGAATTCCACCAAAGGCACAAATGACAGGGCTTGCACGGCGGCCCACTAAATTTCGGCGCACCTCTCACACGTTTCGTGACCCCGTGGCATCCTGAGGGCCCTGCCCCATTTTGGTACATCCCTCACGCGCTTCGTGGCCCAACGAGGAAGCCCACCGAAGGCCGCAGTGGCTGCGTTCGCTACGTTCGCATGGTGCCCCGCCCCATTTCGGCACACCTCTCGCACGCTTCGTGGCCACACTTGGAACTCCACCGATGGCATCAGCGGCTGTGTTCGCATGGTGCCTGGCCGAATTTCGGCACACCCCTCGCACATTTCGTGTCCCCATAAGGTTGTAAGGTGGGCTTGAGGCAAAGGGTTGAGCCGATGCTGTTATTGAGCATAAGTTTCTGAGGACGTTCTGGGAACGTTCATTTGTTTGTGTTTACACACGTCTGTATTTTCTGGCATGCCACATGTGCACGGAATCCTACAAATGATGGGAACCACCGCCAAGCATATCAATTTAGCAATCAATACGCCTTCAATCGAGAAAACTGTTGCAACCGTCACGGAATTCCATGCATTCTAAGTGGACCAATGTATGTGTGAATTCTTCTGGTGGCAAGGAATTATGAGTTGGTTGCGTCCACGTAGTTTTGAATGTGCGCGGAATCCTGCACATTCATATGTGAGTGTTGCGTTGCAGAGCATGTTGTCCTTTGTTTCAATGACAACATGTGTATATTACGTTCTCTGAGGTCACATGAGCGCAAATGAAACATATTGTTCAACTGCTTATATAGAACAATATTGGTGTTGCAATTCGATCGGGTCCAGTCTGCGCAGAATCGCATACGTTCACATGTTAAGTCGCCAATGCCGTTTACCTTATCAAGACAAGTGTTGGTGAGGTATCAGATTGTAGCCTTCATGTAATGTTAGGTACTCATATGGATACTTGATGATTGGCATATTGTTCACTTAAACAGGTTCGCGGTGGCAGTTCAACCGTCATCAGTATGCGACGATGCAGAGCAAGCCGTATGAACATTGAGCCAGGGCAGCCATGTAACTCGGTTGAGGCGCACAGTCGTACAAGTTGAATTCACATGTTTTAACTTGGGCCGAGCCAGAAAACATCGGATGGGCAAATCATGTCTTTCCCAACCATCATGTGGTTATGCGCCCTCGTTTTGAATAGAGAGCGCCCCACGTTTCTCCTCTCCTCCTCCTGCTCCTCCCCCCCTCCTCCCTCATCATCATCATCATCATCAGCAGCATCAGTATCACATCATAATCGTCGACGCCACGTCATCATCACCATCATCGTCATCATGTTCGTCGGCACACTTCTCACACGCTTCGTGGCCCCATAGTGAGCTCCACTGAAGGCCCCAGTGGCACAGCCCGCATGCGTCCCAGCCACTGATTTCGGCATACCACTCACACGTCTCGTGGCTTCATAGGGAGCTCCGCGGAAGGCCCCAGTGGCGCGGCCCTCATTCATTCTAGCCAGTCATGTCGGCACACCCCTCACACGCGTCGCGGCCCCATAAGGAGCTCCGCGGAAGGCCCCAGTGGCGCAGCCCGCATGCGCCCCATCGTTCATTTCGGCACACCCCTCGCACGTTTCGTGGCCCCATAGGGAGCTGCACCGAAGGCGTCAGCGGCTGCGTTCGCATGGCGCCCCGCCTTGTTTCGGCACACCCATTACACGCGTCGTGGCCCCATGGGTCCCCCACCGAGCATGGCGCCCCGCCCTATGTCGGCACACCCCTCACACATGTCGCGGCCCCACAGGGAGCTCGACACCGAAAGCCCCAGTGGGGGTCGGCATGGCGGCCCCGCACCATTCCGGCACACCCATTACACGCTCCGTGGCCCCGTAGAGATCTCCACCGAAGGCCCCATTGCGTCTGCATGGCGTCTCGGTTCGATTTCGGCAGGCCCTTCAGGTGTTTCCGACGTCCGTCTTCCGTTCTTTGGCGAAACGTTCAAAGGTATTACAGTTCCACCAGTTTGTTCTTGTATATTGAGCGGTCCTGTTAATGGGCGCAGCGTGCTTTCACATGGCTGGGTTCTTCGCCTGGCTATTTTCTCTTCGGGCATGGTGGACCGTCCCCAGTCCCCCCGGACTGTCAATCACCGTATCGGTATGAGAACCGGTCTCGGACCCAAGACCAGTTTTCTTTTGTGTTTGCACCACTTCACCATGTCTCTTTGCAACAAAAGAAAGTCTTGCCACGGACCCTCCAAAAGCTTCCAGGAACATCCAGGACATCGTGACCCTTCTCTTCGTCCTGGCACTAGAGGCAGTGGGCGTCGGTCCGACCACAGTTTCCGATCGCTGCCGCCGCCGCCGTCGCCGTAGCTGCCCTTTCTTCTTCCTCGAGCTCCCGCTTGCTTTCGTCCCTCATGAGGCGATACAGCATGCGGAGGGAGGGACCAGTACGGTAAAGACAGCGGCGGTTGGTGGTTGGGTGCAGCTTGTCTGACTGCCCCGTCGGCAGGGGCTGAACGAGCTCGTCGCGTCGCTCATCACGCTCTCGACTGAGCAAAGGCGTGCTGCAGCGCCGTGCCTTGGGGGAAGGGCTCAGTTTGCGGCCGCTTCCCATATACCTTCTTGGGAAAGTGTTGTCACATGCGCCCTCCCTTGCACAGTCGCGTGCGGTTGTGGGCAAGGGGTGGGGAAGCATGACAACATGCGTGGGACAGACGGTGGCCTCCCCCGATTTGACGGCGGATAGAGGGGGAGAGGGAGAGAGAAGAGACTAGAAGGAGATGAAGGGGGACGGAGGGAACAGGGCGAGAGAGATTGAGAGGAAGAGAAGAAGATGGGCAGTGAGAGGGAGAGAGAAACAAAGAGACATGTGTGAGCAAAGCTATTCAACTCAGTGGATTTCGTGGAGCAGGAAATGAGAGACGTGGGAGCGAGGACGGCGGGACAAGCCCGAAGGGCTGGGAGAGCAGAACGATTCGAGGGGGGAGTTGGGCGCTGAGGACCCGATGCAATCAGCGGCGAGCGTACCGCGACCGGACGAAGCCAGTCCCGCACGTGGCTCAAGCGAGGAGCTTGCAGAGGGCACCAGTCCCGGGTCCCCGCTTGTTTGGATTGCACGCTCCCCACACCGGTATCCGCGTCAGCCGTGAAAGCAGACGGCCTTCAGCGCCACCGTCCGCTCCTTCCCTAACACTTGCACGGTAGGCGGTGTCAGAGCGCACATGTTGAGTCGACGATTTTTTGCGGCTCGTCGTCTTCCCCAGACGTGGATGCATGTCTGGCCGCTCTGACCTTCTCACACTCCGCACCTCTCGCGCTGGCCGCCCTGCCCCCGCCCCAGGGCCCAGGAACGTGGTTCTCGGTCGTCTGTCCACACCAGGGCCGCCGCCTGGCATGCTGCGTCCATGTGGCATCTGGCTCCCGACCCCTCTCTGCCTTCGAGGGCACCTGCGTCATGGCGGGCCCTCACCTTACCTGGCGACGGCGACGAGGAACCCTACGTGCCGTCGACGTGCCTTCGACGGCACGTAGGGTGCATCCTCGTCGAGGATGCACCCTACGTGCCCCAAATAACATGTCCGCGACGTTCAGGTCGCCGCAGGACGGGAGACTTCCTGTGTCCACAGGTGCACCATACATGAGGATGCCTCGTTCCAAGACCAGAATTTCATCGAGTGGTGCATCGATTACGTGACCCCGATAGCTGACACCCGCTTCGTGGATGCAGTGATGGATCTGGGCGACACCGCAGCTGTTCGGGTAGCCAAGTGGCGTCTCTCGTGAGCCCTGTACGCAGACATGGTCCGATCGGCACGATGAGCTGCGCTGGCACCGCAGTCTCTTCATAAATGGCTGCCACGGCAACCTTCACCTCAGAGTTCGACCAGGCTCTCGCGTGTTTGCGGGACGTGTCGTCTTCCTTGCCGAGCCCCCAGTGGAATCGGGCACGCAGTTGTTTCTTCCAGCCGCCGCGTGTTGACTAGCTGTTGGTTCGTGCAAGAGGGGGAACATTGAAGCGCGCTTGCGCGGCGTGTGAGATGAGCACCAGACCGACCCCCTCCCAAGCACTCGCGGAGGTGCCGACCCAGGGACGCACAATTCTTCTTCGCGCTTCCAGCTGGGCCGAAGCCGTCCTAGGCATCGACGGCCGTGGGCACTGGCGGGGCTGTGCTCCCAGACGCACGCCGAGCGAGCCTCCGCACAGCACGACCGCGACTACCGCATCGACCTCTGCATACTGAGGCAGAGGGGGCGCCGCCGCCTCCCGCTCCCGCGGCCAGACCCACGCCAAGCGAGTCGATATGCTTGTCGCAGCCTCGCGGCTGATCGCCAGGCGAACTTTGACACCACCAGCGTGCGTCTTCCGTCGACCGCGGATGGGCTCACACTCCCAGCGGAGGTGCCTCGCGAGGCCACGAAGGGGCAGGGGTACCCAGAGCTCGCGTTCCCTGAGGCCCTCGTCCGTGGTCGCGACACCGTCGCTCTGCTTGTAGTCGTGTAATCCCGTTCCCCTTCCTCATCCCCCATCGCTCCCTCCGTCACGTCGATATGTTTCCTCTCTCTCTCATTCTCTCTCTCTCTCTCTCTCTCTCTCTCCCTGCTCTCCTTCCTGTTCTCGCGACCCCTCAGGAAAGGACCGAGGAGCAAGGGAGGTTGTGCGAGAAACGAATACGTGTTGTACACCCGACCCTCCCCAGGCAGAGATCGGACATACAGCAGGTCGGGAGGAAGCGCGGGAGGCCATCTCCGCCCTCCCAGGGAGGAGAGGGAGGGAGGGGCCACCTCCCTCTCCTTCTGGCCTGCCACCCCCGCCCCCTGCCCCGCGAATGGCGGCAGGCCCTCGATCGACGAGGTCTGCGCCTCGCCGTTGCTGATGCCGTGGCTTGAGCGCCAGCACAAGGACAACCCCCGACGTTGCCTCACGGGGTCGTCGCTCGCTGCTCGAGGAGCCAGGCCAAAATTCGAACAGCAAAACACATTCAAACATACAGTGTCGGAGGCCCACACGGATTTTTGGTCTGCCTCACGGCGCTTCTGGCGCCGCCCCTGCCGCGCTCCGCTCGCCAGGGGTGGTGGTGGTCCGCCGACCCACGAGATCCGCGCAAACTTGCAACAGTTAATGTTTGTGGCACCTGCGCGGACCCCTAACGGCGACCATCCGTCACCCGCGGAATCCAATCTTGGTCAAATGGTCACGGGGAAAACCTTGGGGGGGGGGCCCACCATCTGGCCCCAAAGGAGGATCCACAAATGACTCCAGAATCTGACCTCACAAGTGGGCATCTCGAGGGTCGAGGGTAACATGCTTTCCGACCGCAAGGAGGAGCATCCCTCGGGGACCCTATCATCTGGCCGCGAATGGGGAACGTACGTAAGGAACCCTATCGTCAATCATCCAGTCGCAATCAGCACGGGGACGTCACCATGATTGCACACACGAACGCACACACAGACACACACACACGCGCGGCAGTCCTTGGGGGACTTTACCCGAGCATCGCCGCAAATTCCGGCAATTGGAGCTTAGGGGCCAGTTGATTTGATGTTTGTAAGTTTTGATATATACACCGCATGTCATCGATCACATGGTCGGGATGATGTGTGACTCTGCAGCGGGCGAATCCCAGGGCGGGGCACAAAGAGGGGCCTACCAGTCAGCCGCATCATATTGGCCAAGGGGCCATTGATTGGTTCATTGGTTTGTGGCCACACCGCTTACACGTTTGGTGCCCCCATGGGGAACTCAAGCAAAGGCCCCAGCAGGAAAGTTCGCACTCGCTCCCCCCGCCGCCTTTGTGGGCACGCCTCTCACACGCTTCGTGGCCCCTTACGCAGCTCCACCGAAGGCCTCAGCGGCAGGGTCCGAATGCGTACCCGCCACCCGCTTTGGCACGGCACACTCCTCACATGTTACGTGCCCCCATGGGGGAGCTCAACCGGTTGTCCCAGTGGCAGGGTCTGCATGCGTGCCCACGCCAATTTCGGCAACGCGCTCACACGTTTCGTGGCACTTTAGGGGGCTCCACCAAAGGCCCCAGTGGCAGGGCCCGCATGCGTTCTCGCGCCCATTTCGGCAATGTCCCCACACGTTTCGTGGCGCCCATTTTGGCACACCCCTCACACGGTTCGTAGCTGCATATGTGGTTAGGTCCTTCGTCAGGATTAATGTGCAGTCATCGTTTGTATTGGGCACGTGAAAGCTGGCGATTGTGCCTTTGCTTGCCAGTCCACGCGAGTATCGCAGTGATTCGCTTTTGCTTTGCACGCTGTTACCTGGGGCCGCTCCAGTGCGGACTTAGCTCCTGCTCCTTGCTTCTTGCCCCCCCCCTTCCCCATGATTATGTGCACCTTGCTGATGGTGCTGCTCGAGGGCAGGAGAAGAGAGAGGCGTGGAGAGAGAGAGAGAGACGGATAGCTGGAGAAGGGACGGGGGAAGAGGTGTGGAGGACGATTCTCATCTCCTCCTCGCTGCCTCCCATTCCTCCCCGTCCGGCGCCAAACTATGGGGCATCGCTTTGAGGGGTGGTTGTGGTTGAACAAAAGACGCATACTACGCATCAAATGTTTGAGGGGGCGGGCCCCACGCATTGGAATATCGTGCTCTGAATGTGTAATATACAAGGTGCTGTACTTGTGACGCAATCTGTGGGATGCTGAAGATGAGGTGCAAGCTATATAGCGCAAGCTAGGTGGTGCAACCCATGGAATAAAGATAAGTCATCCTGCACCGCGTGAGACCACCCATGCTCGTTCAAATATCCCACCCACCAGCCCGCGATTTCTTGGCAAACCTCAAGGAGATTGTGGGTGCAGTTACCCGCCAGATCTCGCTCGCGAGTCCCAGGTGGCGCAGAGGCGCGCGTACCTTGCTCAGACTCGGGCGGGCGAGTCATGATGGTGACGACTACGTCGGCGACGCCGACGACGATGTTGACGGTGATGGAGTAGCGATGGTGATGAGGGTGAAGATATCGACGATGACAATGATGACGACGATGGTGATGACGACTACGATGGTGATGAAGACGATGGCGATGGTAATGATGACACTGGCGATGACGTTGACGATGGTTCCGATGAGGGTGGTAAGATAGTGCGCGCAGACATTCGGAACATTCCAGCCACGCTCTTCTAGGCAACATGGAGTTCGTTTCGTTTGAACACATATGCGCTTACATGTTCAGAAAAATAAGGGTACTGAATCAATGTCGACGTGCGTGCGCGGAGACGCACGCGTGAGGCCATCTCTCCACTACTTGACAGAGTTGTCGGGTGCGTGATGGTGTTTGGTTTGTTTCGGCATCCCTCGGTTCCTCTTCCCCCCCGCCCCGCCCTGTCGTTCGTCGGTCGTCTATCGCTCGTCTTTCGTGTCGTGCCGCTGGGCTCCGCCTGCGCTGGTAAAAAAAAGTGTGGCCCGAATTGTCTCGTTTGACAGAATGGCAGACAGCCGATGGTTTCCCGATGACGCCAGCGAATGCTGGCGGGCATGAATCATAGATTTGTTAATGGGGAAGCAATTGGTGGTTCACCGTTGTTGAAGCGGTATGTGTTGACCGGGTGTTGGACTGACTTTAGCATGTGCGCGCGGCGGCACGCGCATTTGGCCCGCATCATCTTATGTGATAGGGTTTTTTCCGAAACTCGTGTTATGCATCAGCGTGTGAGCACCAGTGGCTGGTACGCTGCGCAGGGGGGCACGAAGGGCTTGATACACGTGGGCCCAGGATTCTACCACTTGAGATTTCGTACGAACGATCGCGCAGAAGAGACGTTGAACCAAATACCCGTACGAGGAGCGCGAAGTCTGGCCTTTGCAGAGGAGATATATTGTGTTGCTTTTGAAAAGGGTTTTGGATGGTGCAATCTCAGGCGCGCTGTCACTGTGGTGCGATGAATGTGGTGTAATACTGATGGTACGCTGCAGTTGGTGCAAACAACGAGGTGCTCGCGATGTTGTCCAACCTATGTGGTGCAACATGTGCGGTGCAATCTGTGAGTTGCAACTTGTGGTGTGCAATCTACGGGGTGCAGGCTAGTAAGAGTAAGCGTAAACACACACAGTAGTCGTAGTTGTCGTAGCAGCTGCAGTCGTAATGTTAACAGTAGTGAGAGTCGTGCGGCTAGGCTTGAATATTTTTGAAAACGCTGGGGGCGTTTGTTTCCGACATGTTTTTGTTGTTGATGCAGTTGTTTTCGTTTTGGGATTGCCGCCTTGCCGTTTTCGGTTCGTGTTGCTACCCGTTTCCCAAGTTTTTGGGACGGCAGTTTTCTTTATGTGTTCCGTTGTTGTGAATTGTTTTCTGTTTGGGGTTGCCTTTTTTTCTGTGTTGGGTTGCCGTTTTCCGCTCGTTTGGGGCTCGGCTGGTGCAGCTTTTGTTATATGTTGGGTTGCCGTGTTTTTTTTTGGGGGGGGGTCGACCGCAACACGAAGCATTGGAAAACGATTAAAAAACACGTTACCAGATCTTTCAAGGACAATTAAGGGATTGGCAGCCGCAATGGTGGCAAGGACAGTACGTGTAACAATACCAATAATGATAGCATTAGCGGTCGCAGCAGTCGTAATATTTCAAACAGTACTAGCTGAGGGAGGTGGCAGTACAAATGATTCGGCAATCGTAGGCGCAGTATAAGTCGATAGAGGTGTAACAGTAGCGGACGGGGCCCCCAGGAGGCGCCCACGGGCGGGCATTGGGCGAGCACCTGGAACAGCCAGCCAGCGCACGGGGCAATCACGACGCGTCCACGGGCGGCCACAGTGCAGAAACCCGGAAACGCAGGCCAACCACCCAAAAAGGTGGTGCGAATTTCTCATACAGGCGAAGACGTGAACTGCTAGCTGATCCGGGGTGACGCGTTTGAGGGCCAACGTCAATGGGCAGACCTCCAGACGGCGTGCAGCCCCTGCCCCCCCGCGCGCGCGCATCGCAGGAACTGCCCGAACTGGCGGTCCTGGACCCCGAGGTGCCCGCGGCGTGGCCTGGCCTCCTCTGGCAGGGCGACTGGCTGCCGCTCGGCCAGCGGCGGCGGCGAGGGGGACGACCTCGGCGGCGGGGCGAACGGCGACGGCGATGAAGGCGGTGGTGGCGGCGGCGACGGCCATGGCGATGGCGGCGGCGGAAGCAGCGGCGGTGGCGACATCGACGGAAATGGCGGCGGCGTCGGCGGTGGCGACGGAGACGGATACGAGTACGAACACGGCTGCGGCGGGGAAGACGACGACGAGGACGATCCCCCGCTTCGATCGGGGAGAGGCGAGAGCAGGAGGAGGACGAGGAGGAGGAGGAGGAGGAGGAGGAGGAGGAGGAGGTGGAGGGAGCAGGTCTGAATGGGGAGGAGGAGGAGGAGAACGAGGAGGGAGGGAGGGAGTGGGGGGGAGGAAGAGGGAGGAGGCAGGAGCGGGAAAAGTAAAAGCAGGTGGGAGGGGTAGGATGATGAGGAGGATGAGGAGAAGGAGGAGGAGGAGGAGAAGGAGGAACGAAGAGAGGAGGATAAGGGCACAGACAGTGGGTTGGCGTGTTGGTCACCATCCCCGTTGTAATCATTCTCATAATGATTACGAGCATTGCGCAGGGGCCTCAAGGGACCATCAGACCATGATGAGCCAGGGGACGAGTCGGAGTGGATGGCGCCATGCAGGTTGGCTTAGCTCATGTCGATGCGTCGCGAATCTTACGCGGTCCCCATCTCCCTTCTCCTCTGCCTCCTCATTCTTCGCTCTCGCCGTAGATGCGCCCACATTCCGCCTCCTTCGTCCTCCCTCCATCCTGCTTGGTCTTTCATCCTCCCTTTCGCATCCCTCTGATTACGCACCCCTCAATGCCCCATCCCCAATTTCACTCATTTGTCTTCCCTCTTCCCTCCCTGTTCTTTCCTCCCCCTCTCCCCCCCCGCTACCTCCTCCCACTTCCGCCTTCCCCCCGTTCCTCCATACCCCCTCCCCCTTCTACCCCCTTGCTCCCGCCCACCCTCCCCGAGGGCGCACATAGGGCTTATCCGGCCCGAGGGGTGCGGCCCTGAGGCGCGCGAGAGGAGCAAGCAGCACCGCCGCAGCATCTCCCCTAAAGCCGACTGGATGGAACGCCGATTTTCAGGAGCCGCCTCCGCCCTTGCGAGGAAGAGACGGATGGAGAGCAGGAGAGGGGAGGGGAGGGAGAGGAGGGGACGATGGTAGGGATAGAAGGAAGCGGATGGAGAGGGGGAGGGGACACAATAGGAGGAAGAGGAGGAGCAAGGGGGGAGTGAGGAGGAGGAGGAGGAGGAGGAAGATGATGAGAAGGAGAAGGATGGAGGGGTGGAAGAGTAGTTGAAGGGAGTAGAGTCGAAAGAGGAGCAGCTAGATGATAATCATACTTAGAGGGAGTTTCTGTGGAGCTCACGTCATCCTTACCCCCGGCGCGCGGGAGAGTCGCTTCCAAACGCACCTCCAGGGACCATTTCCGGCGCTGCACCGGGCGCACCCGACGCGCCGGGCGTGTCCCAAACCGGCGCCCTCGCTGGAGACATCCTTGCAAAATCACCCCACGGGCCCCCAGCGCACCCCCACAGACCATTTCCAGCGCCGCACCAGGCGCACCGGGCGCGCCGGGCGTGTCCCAACCCGGCGCCCTCGCTCTCTCAAAATCGCCACACGGGCCCCCATGGCAGCGCGCCCCCGCGGACCATTTCTGGCGCTGCACCGGGCGCGCCCGGCGTGTCCCAACCCGACTCCCTCGCTGGGAGACATCCTTGCAAAACCGCCTCACGGGCCCAGAGCACCCCCGCCCGCCCGATCCTCACCTTCCCTGATCTTCATTTTCCTCATCCTCGCCCTCCCGATCCTCACCCGCCGCACCAACGCCACCTGCTCATTCTCACCAGCGTCATCGAGCACCGGCGCACGCACCTTTCTCTATATACAGAAACTCCCGATCAACCGCAGAGCGGCCGGCCAGTATGGAAGAGCAGGAGGAAACGAGAGAGAGAGAGAGAGAGACAGAGTGAGCACCACACTACGTAAACACAGAGAGAGAGAGAGAGAGAGAGAGAGAGAGAGAGAGAGAGAACAAACAATGATCTAGAAATAACGTAGCACCCCGCAGATGCGGATACGAGTGAGGGGGCGGTGGGGACGTCGGCAGTTAGCGAGACTCTGGAGAAGCCCGCCGCAGGCGCCAAAGTTTCACACATCATATTACGAGTCCGCCGCAGGCGCCTATTTTTTTCGTAAACCAATGTGGGTAGGTCGCGGGTGGGTCGCGGCTGGGTCACGGGTGGGTCGCTGTTGGGTCGCGGGTGGGTCGCGGGTGTAGAGAGCAGAAAATCCCTTCCATTATAATCACCCCGACAAGCGAAGCCGTTAAGTAAACGCACGCAAGGAATGACTCGAACAGGGCAGGGCTGTTTAGTAAACGCCCAGAGCAGTTTACTAAACGTCAATTGTCGGGTCTGGGTGTTTTTTCCTCCCCTGGGGGTGGGTCGCGGGGTGGGTCGAGGGTGGGTCGCGGGGTGGGTCGCGGGAGGGTCGCGGATGGGTCGCGGATGGGTCGCGGGGTGGGGCGCGGGGCGGGGCGCGAGGTGGATCGCGGGTGGGTCGCGGGTAGGTCGCGGGTGGGTCGCGGGTGGGTCGCGGGTGGGTCGCGGGGTGGGTCGCGGGGTGGGTCGCGGGTGGGTCGCGGGTGGGTCGCGGGTGGAACGACGACAACAAAGAACATAAACAACAACAGCAACACTCATTATAATATTGCTCGCTCTTACTTGCCCGCGTGTCATTCAAAACGATGTCCCCACACCCTCGATACCCGCCCTTTTTGTCTGCGATCACACCCCCTTGTGGGGGGATTATTTCTCTTTGCGGGGGGCGGCGGGCTTAGACAGGCGGGCAAACCTGAACGGGCGGACAATCCCTCGTGGGCGTGCATGTGCCCGCCATTGGAATTGGTGTGGGCCCTGCAAAAAGAGGAGGGGGAGAACGAGGGAGAGTGAGTGGAAAGGAGGGGTGGGACGAAGGAAGATGGAACACGCCAGGAGAAACTGAGCGAAGAGGGGGGCGGTTGATTTAAGGCACAGAAAGAGAGAGAGAGAGAGAGAGAGAGAGAGAGAGAGAGAGAGAGAGAGAGAGAAAGAAATATGATGAGAAAGAGAGAGAGAGAGAGAAAGAGAGAGATAGAGAGAGAGAGAGAGAGAGGGAGAGAGAGAAACACAACAAATAAAGACATATAAGAGAGGTAGAGGAAGAAAGAGAGAGAGAGAGGGGAGAAAGAGAGAGAGAGAGAGAGAAAGAAAGAAAGGGGAAGGGAGGAGGCAGGAGAGGGGGGGGGAAGGGAGGAGGGAGAGGAGGGTTAGGGGATAGGGCAGAGAGGAATAAGCATGAGGGAAGAGCGGAGGTAGAGAGAAGGGAGGAGAGGAGGGAGGAGGGAGGAGGGAGAGGGAGGAGGAGCAGGAAGTTAAGAGCGTGAGCGTTCGAGGAAGTCCTAGGCGAAAGCGCCGTCCCTGAAGGAATTCTCGGGCGGGAGCCCACGACGGGCGGGCGATCCCCTGACGGGCGGGCCGGGCGGGTGGGACATTCCAGCGGGATGCCTGAGTATGGCGAGAGCGCGATTACTCAGTAAATTGTAACGGCGTCTTTGGCGCAGCGTGCTTCCTGAGCGTCGAAGGCGCGATTGCTGAACAAATTGCATGGCAGGCACAGGCGAGAGCGCAATTCCTGAATAAAATGGGAAGGGTTCTCTAGGGGTCTTGATTACATTGCGAGGAAGTCTTGATTAAATTGCAAGGAAGTCTCCAACGGGAGCGCCGTTCCTGAGTGAATTGTAAGGACGTTTCAGATTGGAGCAGGGGTCCTGACTACATTGCGAGGAAGTCACAGGCGGGAGCACCGATCCTGAGTAAATTGTGAGGAAGTCTCAGGAGCGGGGATCCTGAGTAAATTTTGAGGAAGTCTCAGGCGGGAGCCGTTGTTGTTGCAATCTGGGGGGCCAGGGGCCCAGTTTGAACATCAAGATTTTCCTTGTCAAGAAACAGGGTGCGAGCGTCGAGGGGCACACGTTGGTTGAGAAGAAACAGTCACCGGTGGGGGATCAACAATATTTGTTCCTCAGAAGTGAGAGTTCAACGCAACAACGCAACCACGCAACAACGCAACAAACATAATTATCACCACGAGTTCCTTATTCAGCCACGCACCCAGGGACAACGAATGGCCGTTCGGACCCCTCACTCCAATACAATGAATTCTTAGAAGAAGAAAAGGAAGATGAGGAGGACATGAAATGAAGGCCCTGAGGGGAAAGCACAGCACTACGAGACCACTCGGGGTGGAAGAGGGACGTTCGGGAATTGGCCCGACTGGCCGACTCTAAAGGCCCGAAAACTATCTCCGAGAACGAGCAGCTGCGACCTGCTCCTTCAAACGTAACCCTTCGACCAGTGCAGACACTCTCTGCTTGTAGGAGGGGGCCGAGTCCAAGGCCGAACACCGAGTCCGAACAACCGATGGGGCACTCGAGGTCCTGGGGGCGTCGTCGGAGACGGCAAGCCACGACATCGGCACAGTTGTCGAGCAGCGCCTGCACAAGACGATTGGGGCACTTGCCCTGGCGGGGCCTCCCGAGGACCTCTAACCCTTTTTCTCGTCGGCGGTTCGCAACTTCGGCCGAGCTTCAATGCTCGTTCATGGGACCACCGTCTGCATTTTAAACGAGCGATGTGCTGCTCACGGGACGCAGGACGACTCGACGCCGACGGGCCGAATATATTTGGTTTATTAACGTTGTTGCGGCATCTCAAGGAGCCTCTCAGAGCGGTGGATAGTGAAGGCCCTCGGAGGCCCCCGTGCCCATGCCTGTGTCTTCCGCGGCCCCCCGCGGCTCAAGGAGTTCTGCCGATGGGGATGGACTGGGCCTCCCGAGGACTCCAGGCAATGGCCCTGCTCGCCCCCTACCGCCTCCCTTCGCAGCTGCGTGTCAGACTGCTCGGCGCCGACGGAGATCGTCGGGTTGCTGGGCGGGCAGCTCGACAGGTGCGGCCGGGAGCAGTTGACCTGCCCCGTCTGCCCTGGCTGCCCCGAGCTGCGCTGCCCCGCGCCGGGGCCAGCTCTCGGGGCCTTCGCCGCGGGCGCGGCGATCGGGGCCTCGGCCGCCGCCTTGGCCGGGGCGGTCTGGAGGCTGCGCCGGCCTGCGGCGGCGGCGGCGGCCCCGCCAGCGCTCTTGGACGACGAGCTGCTCCTGGCGCTAGACGCCGGGGGCGCTGGGCCCGCGGCGGCCGCCGAGGACGAGGCGAGGCCAGCGGGGGCACCCGCCTCCTTGCGGGCTAGGCGCCGCTGACGGCGCGGAGCCTCGACACTCCCGAGGCCCAGGTGGCGATCGGCTCCTTCGACGATCCGAACGGGTTCACGGTGCACGTTCGGGTCCTCTTCGCGCCGGCGGGCGCCGGCAAGTGGATCTGGGCCACTCCGGATCACGGCGTGCGGTTCGGGGACCTCACGACGCGCCGAGTGGTGCCGCTTCCGAGGGGCGCGCCGTTCCCTCGGCGCCTGGCGGGTCAGCTGCGCGCCTTCGACCCTCTCGACGAGGGCGAGCTCGAGGCTATCCGGGAGCAGGCGGCGGCGCTGGCGGCGGCGCTGGGCATCGAGATGCCGCGCGGCGCGGCGGCGGCTCCGCCTCGCTGGGCGGTCGCCGACCCCGCCCATCCGCAGTTCGGGCTGGTCATCGACGCGGCGATCAGCGGCGCCGAGGATCGTTTCGCACGGCGCGGGGCGGTGGCACTGGCGACGCTGGGCGGCAACGACGACGAGGGCATCAACGCTGTCTGCGAAAACGTGCCGGAGGAACGGCACCAGGAGTGGCTGGGCGAGAAGCGCGCGGGGCCCGGCCGGGGCCCTCGGGCGCGCCCCGCCCGGCGGATAGGACCAGGCGGGCCGCGGCGAGCTACGCGGGGCCAGGCCATCGAGACGCGCCGCCCGCAGGTCGCCAGCGATTGGGCGTTCCGCGGGCCGAAGTCGCTGCCGGAATTCCTGGCCAGCGCGCGGGCCGCAGGCTCGGGGGTCGCTGGCTGCGCGAACCACTGCGTCACGAGCAGCGGGGCACCGCCCGGCGGCGCGGCAGCCCACGAGAAGAGCCTCTTGCTCGAGGCGCTGCGGCATTTCGTCGAGCGCGACCAGGTCGGCGTCGTGAACCTCGCGGCGGCCGAACTCATCGCGAGGGGGATCGTGCAGATGCAGCGGGCCATTCGTCGGAATCCCAAGCAACCCGACTGCTCCAGCACATAGAGGACGCGCTGGCCTCGGCGCTGGACGAGACGGTTGGGGCGGTCACCAGCAAGGTCGACGAGCGGGTCGCGCAGGAGCAGAAGACGAAGGCGGTGATCGCGAATTATAGTAGACTGCACGCGGAGGAGAGGGGCGCCGAAGCCGAGCGGTTTGCCGGCGGGGGCGGCGGGGGCGGCGACGGCGAGCGGTAGCCTGGAGCGGGGTTGCCCGCTCTACCCGACCTCTATCCCGGACCCCGGAGGCAGGGCTCCTGGCGGCCAAGGGCCAGTTCGGCGGCCGCCGCAGTTTTGTGCACAGTTTTGTTCCGAAGGTTTCGTCGTCGCCACGGCGTCCGACCTCTTCCCTGGCGCTGCCCTCCGACTTCTTCGAGGAGACCAGCCGAGAGCGACCGGCGGGCCGCCGCGCCGCTCGTCGACGTGCGAAGCGAGACTGGACGCGGAGGGCGACCGAGGACATCTTCTCGAGCCTGAGCGCTCTGGCTGCCGCGCGAGCGTCGCGCGCCCTCCAGCTTGGGCGGGCGCGCCGGACTTCCACGCCGACCCCCTCGCAGGAGTCCGCGTTAGGCCGAGCGGTTCGATCGGCGGCTCGACATGGCCCGCCGCCGCCCGGCGCCTGGCCGAGAGGGGCCTCTCAGGAGCGACTCAAGTCCAGCAACATCTACTCCGAGGAGGGCCGACTCACCGTCGGGCCCTTCTCCCAGGACGAGGTCTCCCTCTTGCAGGGCTCGGTGGGGCCTCGGGACCTCGCCCCAGATCACGTTCGACAAGTTTTGATGGAGCTCGAGAGGTTCCTGGGGCGCCACTCCGACGAGCTCACGGACGAGCCCCATATCGAGCCGCGCTGGGGCCCCCTCCTGAACCCGAGGATCCGCGCCAGCCACCCGCGCTTGCTCGCGCCGCTGCGGCGCCTGGCCGACGCGGGGATCGCGGCGGCCACCCGCCGGAGGAAGGCGACCGCGAGCTTGTTTCTCGTCCAGGAGAAAGGAGACCGCCTCCGCATGATCGTGGACAGCCGGCAGCCCAGACAGATCCACAGGCTGCCTCCCCAGACCAGCACGGCATGGTGCAGGTCGGGATAGACTGGCGCCGGCGCTACTCGGCGAGCTCGGACGACGCCGCCCTGCACGCAGCCACGGTCGACTTGAAGGACGGCGTCTACCAGCTCAAGATCCCGCACCTGTCCGAGTGGTTCGCGTTCGACATGCCGGGCGTCCGCGCGAAGGAACTTGGCGCGCAGCAGGTTTACGACGGCGGCGCGGGGTCCTACGCGTGGCTGGCCTGCGGCGGGCTGGCGACGGGCTGGCCCTGGGCTCTCTGGATCCGCCGCGAGACGCTGGCACGTGCGATGGGGTCTTCCGCGGGCCCCCGCGACGCCGTCGTGCTGGACAAGGCGCCAGCGGCGCGTCTGGAGCAGGGCGCGGTTGGCGACCTCCCGCACGTCGACAACGCCAACATCATCGGGGTCGAGCGCGACCTCGTGCAGGCCTGGCTCGAGCGCATGATGGCGGCCCTCGACCTGTTGGGGCTGAAATGGCACGGGAGGCGGGCGCTGGCGTCGAGGTGGAGATCCTGGGCGTTATCGTCGATGGCGCGCAGGGCCTGGTTCGGCCCGAGCCGAAGCGCCTCTGGCGATTGTGCGGCGGCTTGACCTTCCTCTTGAAGTGGCCGAAGGCCGCAGGTTGGCCAAAGACGCGCTTTCCTGGGCCACCTGGTGTCCTTTTTCCAGCTGCTGAGGCCGGGGCTCGCCGTCTTCCGCATCCTGTGCGACTTCGCCCAGCAGGGCCTTGGAGAGATCCGCGAGCTGCCGGCGGCCGCGCAGCGCGAGCTGAAGGTGGCCAGGTCGCTCCTTTTCATGGCCGTGGGTCGCTGGGGGCTGCCGCCCTGCCCCGTCGCGTTCATGACGGACGCCCCCGCGAAGGGCTACGCGCTCCCGGGGGCCGACGCGACGCCCGACGAAGTCCACGATCTCTGCCGATTCCGAGAAAGAGCTCGCTTCAGCAGGCGCGACAGGTTCGCGGAGCGGGAGCGCGACGGCTTCAAGGGCTCCATGGCGATCGGCGACGCTAGCGAGGGCTGGTAGGACGGGCTGCTCGAGCGGGCCAGGCCGCGGGGCCCCGTGCCGGAGCGCTGCCGGGTCGAGGTCGACCTGGGGTGGCGGCCGCCGCCCCTGCCCGACGACTTCGCGGACCCGAAGCGCTGGGAGTTGGTCGTGGCGGGAGCATGGCGGGATGCGAGCCGCATGCGCGACTTCGAGGCGCGCTGTGAATTGATGGGCCCGGCGCGAGCGGCCAGCTACCCCCCGTGCCACAACGCGGAGCTGCTCTCCGCGGGGGGCAGCATGGGCCCCGCCCTGTCCTTCGAGAAGGGCCGCGCGGCGAACGGGGAGCTCCTCGCACAGTGCCGACGGGCGGCCGCGCTGCAGCTGGCCGCAGGCACCGTGCGGCGGCAGCGCCACGTCGAGGGGGCGCGGAACGCGGCGGATTACATGAGCTGGGCTGCGGACCGAGGGGTGCTTCGACCTGGCCAGGTTTGGCGCGGGCCGCGAGGTCGCCGTCCGACTGGGCGCCCTCCCGATCGCCTCTCCGCCTTCGTTGTACAAAAAGAGCTCTTCGGCGAGATCCAGGCCAAAATCTCCAGGGCGCTCTTGGACGAGATCCAGGCCAAACTCTTCGGCTAGATCCAGGATAAAAATCCTCGGGAAGCTCTTCGGCGGGATCCAGGCCAAAATCTCCAGGAAGTTATTCGGCGAGATCCCGGCCAAAATCTCCAGGGCGCTCTTCGACGAGATCCAAGCCAAAATCTCAAGGGGGCTCTTCGGCGAGATCTAGGCCAACATCTCCAAGGCGCTCATCACCGAGATCCAGGCCAAAATCTCAAGGGAGCTCTTCGGTGAGATACAATCTCCAAGGCGCTCTTCACCGAGAGCCAGGCCAAAATCTCCAGGACATCCCCCAGGGCTCCGTCTACCGCCAGGTCTGGACCCCCCTCCCGCTCCCCCGCGTCTTGGAGGTCAAGTGGGTCAGAGGTCTCGTTGGGGCCGACGCTTCTTCTTGGAGATCTTCCCGGGCGAGGGGTGCTTGACTGGGGCCATCCTGGAGGCGGGGCTGGGCGCGGGGCCCCCCGTGGACCTCGAGAAGGGCCCGCACTTCGATATCGCGGACCCGATGGTCCAGAAGGTCGTCATCGGGTGGATCCGCTCTGGCGTTGTTTGGCTCATGCACCTTGCGACCCCTTGTGCTCGGTGGTCGATTGCGCGCTCCTCCGGCGCCGCCGATCCAGTCGTGGGCCTTGTGGCGGCGCGATTCACGGCGCGCCTGATCCAGGAGTGCCGGCGAGCGGGTGTCAACTTCACTCTCGAGAACCCCCGGCGGTCGCGTCTCTGGACCTGGAGACCTCTGGCGAGAGCGCTCAGGTCGGCGGCGTCGACGCTCGTCGACTTGTGTCAGCGCCGCTTCGGGGCGCCGTTCCAGAAGCCGACGAGAATACTGTTGCGCCCCGCCCGCTGTTCGCCGCGCTGGGCCGAGAGCGCAGGCGCCAGTGACACTGCGAGGTGCTGCAGGGAAAGGTCCCTATGAAGGGCCGCTGGGAGTGGAAAGCCAGTTTCGCTGCTGCCTACCCGCCAAGCTTGCGCCGCGCCTATGCCGGCGTCGCCCAGCTCCCGGCGCCCCCGGCGGCAGCGCGATCAGACGGGGGGGCGGAGCTCGAACGCCGCTGGGAGCGACAGCTGGCGCCCGCGGGCGGCTGCGACGCCGCTGTGGTCGGCGCCCCGCGCCGCCCGCTCAGGCACCGGCTGCCGCGGCACGGCTGCCGGAGGCGCTGGGGCTGGGGGCTTGGGCGGGCGGCCGCGCCAGTCGGGCGCGGACTGAGCCGCGGGAGCAGGCGCCTGGCCTCCTGCGACGGGCTACAGTGCGCCAGGCGACGGCGGCGCCCTACTCGGATTGCGTGGAGGAGCCCAACGACTACATCGCTCGCAGCGGCGGTGGCCTCGCCGACCCGCACGCGGCGGGCGCCACCCTGGAGCGCCACTTCGAGGCGCTTTTCCTGGGCGGCGAGAGGCCAAGGCCAACGCTCGCTGGTGCCTCTACGGGCTGGCCTGGCAGCGCGGCTGGGCGACCAAGGGCGGCGCTTCCCCGAAGGCCAAGCAGGCCCCCAAAGGCTGGGGCCGCCTGGGGTCCGCCTGGCAGCCGGGGGCCTGCGGTCCGGGGGGCGGTGCTGGCAGCGGCGGACGACCTCATCGGCCGCGAGCTCCCGTCGACGCTGGCGGGGGCGCTGCTGCCTGTGGCTTTCGACGGCTACCTCCGGCCGCCCGCGGCGCTGGGCCTGCGAGGCGCCGACATCCTGCGGCCGCAGCGCTCGACCCCCCAAAGGCTGCGGGCGGCGACGGTAGCGCCGGCGACGCAGCCGATCCCGTCGAATACCAGCGCGCTTGATGACACCGTTTTCCTGGGCAGCGCCGCCAAGGGTCATGGTTTCGTTGGCGGCGTCCTGGATGTCCTGCTGGCGCGCGCGGGCAAGGGGCAGCTGTTCGGCGGGCTCACGCTGGCGCAGCTTGAGGCGATCGTGAACGCGGCATGCCGCCTCTTGCAGCTGGCCGTGGCCTTCACGCCGCGCTGCCTTCGCCATGGCGGCGCTAGCCGTGACGCGCTGGGGAAGTTCGAGGATGCGCTCGCGATCCCGCGCAGGGGCCGCTGGAAGGCTCGCGAGAGCGTGCGCCGGTACGAGAAGGCCAGCACTTTGCTCCGTGCGTGATCGAAGTTCCCACAGCCTTTCTTGTCGAGAAGCCTTCGCCCGGGCCCCGCTCCCCCAGGCAAGCTGCGGGCTGCCCTGAGAAAACATGGTCGCCCAGCGTGATGTGGGCCTTCTGTGAAGTCCGAATTGTCTTTTGGTTGCAGGCCGTCGTGCTTCGCCCCTCCCGACCCGACCTCGACAGTCCTGCCATGAGGCAGGTATGGGGTCTTGCTGTTATGGGGTTGGCAAAGACAGGGCGCGGTGCACGCGTGCTGGAACCAGTCTTCAAAGCACCTGCTCGGCAAGCGCAGCAGGCCGCTCTGGAAAATTGGAGAGTCGGCAATTGTGTGATCATCTCGTCTTTCTCTGCTCTCTTCGTCCGTCTTGCTTCTCTCTTCTCTTTGCCATTGCAGGGTGAGAGGCGCCGCGCGGGTGTTGCGCTTCAGTTTTACGGGCAAGCGCCCCAGCCCAAGCGACGATGGCGTGCCGCTTGGGATCAACGGGAAGCCTTTTCAGCACAGTGGGCAGACCAGGGCATCCGTCCAACGGGAGCTTGTCAGGATCTCCTTCGGCGAGAGCCAGGCAAAACGGCGCTGTGCGCCTAGCTCTCCTCCTCCCAGCCACGCTAGGTCGCTGGCATTCACGTTGATCAGGCGAGCGCGGGGCAGGAGGGCGAGGGCGCGGCGAATGCGGATCAGGTGGGCGAGGATGAAAAGAATGAAAATCAAGAGGGCGAGAGCCGGCAGGGTGGATAGCGCGCGCATTGCGATGCGCTGCGACGCCGCTGCCCAGCTCGTTCGGCCTCTGCCCATGGCTTTGAACGTTCGCGCCTGCAGCCGCCCCCGCGCCCGCGCCCGCGCCCTCCACTCTCTCCTCCACATCCTCCCAGGCAACCTCTGAAAACGAACCCTCGATCCTCTGTTCCTGAAGGTCCCTGGAGGTCACCCCCCCCCCCCTCGTCCACATTCGCGCTCTTTCCTCTCCCCCCCGTCGGCCGCGCCAGGTTGGGCGCCCAGCGCACCCCTGGATAGGGCGCCTGGGGAGGCGCTGGGGGCGCGCTGGGCGCCCTGGGGCGGCGATTCTGCGAGGGCGCTTCGTGCAACAGCGCCGGATGGGGGTGCGCCAGGAGCGCCCAGTGCACCCCCGGAAACGGTCCCTGAAGGCGCGCTGGAAGGCGTTTTTCACGCGCGCTGGGGGTCGGGATGACGTGAGTTCCACAGAAACTCCTTCAAATGTCACCCAAAGTTGGACGGGGCTCAACATAGGCGCGAAATCGTCGAGGACCACGCGGGAGCAGCGCCTCGGCGATGTCGAGCCTCTGACCTCACAGTCTCGACATGGGGCCAACATAGGCGCGACATGTTCGAGGACTATGTGGAAGTCATGTTGCGCCTCTGACCTGAGGGGCTCCAGACGGGCCCGACATGGGCACGAACTCCTCGAGGGCGACGGAGCCTCTGACGCGAGGGGCTTCGGAAAATCTCCACCTGAGGGGGCGACGCGGGTTCGACGGGGGCGCGAGATCCTCGAGAACTTCTTTGTTTGGGAGAGGTTACTTTGCGCCCCTGACGTGAGAACGGGCTCAACACTGACGCGAAATTATTGAGGATTATGCGGGGGTCATGTTGAGACCCTGGCCGGAGGGTCTCAACACGGGGCTCGAAATTGGCGCGAACACTTCGAGGACTATGCGGAAGCTGCGTTGAGCCTCTGCTGCTAGGGTTTGGAAATGGCCCCCCAGCGTGGGCACGGAATCCCCGAGGACTTTGCGGAAGTCGTGTTGGGCCCATTGCAGCGAGGATCTCATCATGGCCCTAACGTGGGCGCGCGACTTTGCTGGTGCCACGCTTTGGCGATGTGAAGCCCCTGATCTGAGGTTCTCAGCCTTGCCCCATCGTGGGCGCGGTGTCTTCGGGGACTTTGCGGGGGGCACACCCGGGCGATGTGGGGCCCCTGGCACGATGGTCTCAACGCATGGGCGGCGTTGAGCCAGGGCCTGGAGGTTCCAACGTGGCCGCAGCATCGGCGCGGATTCCTCGATGACTATGCGGTAACTTTGGTGTTGCCACCATCTGGACACGGCCTCAACGCGGGCGCGGGTTCGTCGACGCCCATGCGTCAGCCATGTCCAGACAGTCGTTCTGAAGTCTTTAGCATGGTCTCAACAGGGCCGAGGAGTCATGGAGGACTGCGCGAGGGTCATCGGGTCGACGTCGACGTCCTCGCAGGTGGACCGCGCGCGTCGACGAGGCCGCGGCGATTCGAGCTTCAAAATCTTGAACCTGGAATTGGACAACGGCTGTAGGAAGCCAATTCGTGGTAGACGCGCCCCGTTACCACGCGCCCGTCGATCGGGGCCATCGGCGCGTCGGAGGAATAAATTGCGCGGGCGACTGGATGAGTAGACGAGTGACCGAGTGTGCAAGAGCCTGTGAGTGGTTCAACGGGCAAAGGGCGGTTTGTGCGGGCGCGCGTGGCAGCGAGTGAATGAGGGAGCGAGCAAGAGGAAGTGAATGCGTGAACGGCGGGATGGACGAGTGCACGAACGAATCGTTCACTGCAAGCGCAGCCCCATAGGAACATATGAACGAAAGAGCTCAAACGAATGAATGAGCTTGGGAACGAAAACCAAAGAACACATGGCAAGCGAACGACGCAGCGAGCAGGAGCGCGCGAGCAAGCGAAAGGGTGGCTGAGCGCGTGAATCCGGATGACCAACCAAGTTTGCACGAGCGAGGGAGAGCAGGGAGTGGGCGTGCGGATGGGTGGGTTGATTGTTGGGTGGGTGAGAGTGTTGGGCGAGTGCGTGCGCGGGAGATCGGGCGGATGACCGAGGGAGAAAATGGGCGAACCATCCGTCGAGCGAGTGAGTGCGTGTGATCGGGAGGGTAAATGAACGACGAGACGAGTGATCGAATGATCGGATCGAGCGAGCTGGCACGTAAGTGTTTGAAACGGACAAGCAAGTTGGGCGGGCGGGCTCTTCGGTGACCAGACCTGTGCGAGAGAGCGAGTGAGCGAAGGATTACAGAGCTTGGAGCTGCACAATTCTTGCCTATCGCAAAAGCTGCTCGACTAACTAATTGAGCATCCCTCCTCTGGGCGACAGACACACGCGTGCGAGAATGGCCGTTGGATATAAGCGCACACTCACCCTGACGCTCCGCCTACCCTACCCCTCCTCATCCTTCCCCGCGGTCCTCGCCCCCACCCCCTTGTTGATCTCATCCTCCGCCCCTCCCCGTTTCACCCCCCCCCCTCTCCCTAATTGCCCCGCGCGCTCCCCTCTCCCATCCCCCTCCCGCGTTTCTCCTGTTCCGTCCCCCTCCCACCCTCTACCCGTTGTCTCCTTCTCCTGCTCCTCTTTCTCCTCCTTCAACATCCTTCTCGCCCCTCAGTTTCCTCCCCGCTGACTCCTCCGCTTCCCGAGCTCCCCCCCCTCCCCCTCAGGCCAGCTGCCGACATTCTTCGAAGAGCACACGCCCGCTTCGTCCAAAGGCATCCATGTTCGCCCCGTCATGCAACCCCAGGAGACGCCGCCGCTCATTGGCTCCGGGGACAGCGGCACAGGAGCGAAGCGAAAAGGAGGTATGCGCTCTCCTCCCTTGCATGGTAAGAGGGTAATGGATTGATCTCCCCCCGTTTTGTTAAACGGGTTTCGCACCCCGTGGGTCTCAGCGAAAGAACGAGCAAGGAGGTGAAGGAGGAACCAGCGGAGCATGAGGAATAGGAGGAGGAGGGGAAGGAGGAGGAGGAGGAGGAGGACGGAGGAGGAGGAGGAGGAGGAGGAAGTGGAACGGCGAAACTATGGGAGGACGATGCAGGGGAGGAAGGAGTAGAGCAGGAACAGTGATGGGGGAGGAGGACAGACGCATGAGGACGGAGGTCGAGGAGGAGTCGAGGAGAAGGAGTACAAAGGCGGGGGAACAGAAAAATGAGGAGGATGAGGAGCGGACGACATGTAGACGAATGGGATGGGATGGGGAATTTTTTGTTGGTTGGGAGGAGGATGAGTGTAAAAGAGAGAGGATGAGGGAAGAGGGGGGGGTACTTGAAGGGGAAAGAAGGGGGGTCGAAGGGAGGGACGGACGCACGGATACGGACAGGAACTTCGGCTTAGCTTGTCGCTCCGCAGGTGCTGCCCCACCACGCTTCGACGCGACATTCGATCCACGGCCTGGTCCCCAGATGTCAACGTCCAAATTTTTCCCGAGCCTCCCGCCCCGTGGGTCGGAGCGACACGCGATCCGCTTGCAGGGCCTAGCGTGTCGCCGGGACCGCCGCCGCGACACGCTAAGCAGGAGTACCCGACCATAGGAGGAGTAGGGCAAAAGGGCGTGTCATTCCAGAGAGAGAGAGAGAGCCCATTTTGGAAATGAAACACCGCCAGTATTTCTAGTTGCAAGAAGCACCAACTACCGTGCTGGATCAGAAGAGGCAAGACCACGTCCAGCCACAGTCTTGTTTTTGAATAGGAACCGCCCTCCATCTGTGTAGCTGTTGCACAGTGACACTCGTTTGGTCTGAAGCCGTGAAGTCTTAAGCGAGGGCACCATTTCGAAAAGGGACCGTTATGCATCCTTGTACTTGCGTGAAACATTGAAGGTTGAGTTTGCGCGGCGATAGTGCGAGCGCCCTCCATCCTTCTTCATGTTTGAGGTTTCCAGAACGATCGTGCACGGCGCAAAGGCGAGAGTAGCATTATCAAGCTAATACATGCTTTGTAGGTCTACAGATTATTTGGTTTTCAAGGACGGCTGTGTACGGCGCTAGGTCGATAATCACATGTTGACCGCAGTCCGCTTCCCATCCTTCTAGCTGTCGAAGGCTTTCAAGACGAATGCGTCCAGTATTGGAGCGAGAGCACAACTTCGAGAGCGGTTCGCCCTCCATCCTTGTAGTTGCTCGATTTGTCAGTCTTCAGTGTAGTAACTTGTGATGGCGTATCATGCGAAACTGCTGGCCCCCCCTGCCGACACGTCTGGTGGCACGACGACTCGAATGGCCTTCGGCCCATCCTGCCGCCGTGCCTGGGTCGTGGACCAGAGGCGGTCTTGCGGTCTCTTGGAAGGATTTGGAAGCCCACTTGAGGGCCTATTGGAGGCCTCTTGGGGTCTCCTGGGGCATCTTGGGGGTCTCTGGTGGCCTCTTCGGGGCCTCTGGGAAGACGCTTGAGTGCCTCTTGGGTGCCTCTTCGAGGCCTCCTTGGGATCTGGAGGCGGCAACGGTGTGGCGAAACCTCGGCACACCCACGATGCACCCTTACTCCCTTTGGCGCGACGTGGCGAAACATTCCAGGGGCAGGCAGGGCAGATGCCCGGCGCACTTCCCCCCGGTCGCGCACCCCGTGCGGCCGCGGCGGCGACAGCTCCACACGGCGGCGGCGTTGTCGCGAGGCACCCTCTTCCCTCCCCCCTCCCCTTCCCCTCTCCCCTGCCCCCCTCCATCCCTCCCGCCCCTCTCCCCGTCTCGGCCACGGAGGCTCCCATAGGTAACCGGCCCCCCCTGAGGGGACCTCCGCCGCAGCCGGAAGGATTTATCCGCAGGGAAGGCCACCGTTTTTGGCGACAGGCTTCGCTTGCCGCGTGAGTTTGAAGCGCCCTCGCCACATTTCCCTTCCTTTTTTCCCCTTTGCCCATTTACACCCTCTCTCACCCTCTGCCTCGCCCCTCCCCCCAAGGGTCAGGCCGCCCACATGGGGCTGGAACAGATGGGGTCGGTCGCGCCGCATCCCCGATGCATCGGCGATGCGGCGCGATCTGGCGCCCGATTTTCTCCATCCCGACGTCGCCTCCGCATCGCCGATGCGGCGCGATCCTCCCGCCCGATCTATTCGGGCCACGTATGGGCGGCCTCCATAGGGACCCCTTTTTTCTGACTGCGCTGCGAGCGATGGGTCATCTCTTGCAAGTGCCATTTGGGGATCAGAGTCTTCCAGGACACCCCAGTCGGCGGATAGCAAAGGATTCAACGCAATGGAAGGGGATGGGTGTGAGTGTTAGGATGTCAGCCGTGACGCAAGCGCACCTAGTTCATCCTCCTTCCCCCCCTCCCGTCTCCTTCTCCTCCTGCTGCTGCTGCTTCTCCTCCTCCTCCTCCTCCTCAACTTCCCCTCATCATCCTTCGCCCCCTGCTCTCGATCGCCGCGCCTCCCCGAGACAGGACATGTCCCTGGTGGTCGCGTTCCGCATGCTGCTCCACATGGCCGAGTGCGGGCAGGAGCGCCCCGCCCGGCCCCCAGCCGCGTCGCCCTCTTCCATTGCAGTCGCAGGAGGGGCGTTTTACACCTCTCCCTCGCCCTTTGCCTCCTCCTCCTCCTCCTCCTTTTCCTAACCCCCTTCTTCATATTCTACGTCTTCTTCCACATCATCGTCAGTATCCGTCGCCGCCCCCTCTTTCCCTTCCGAAGCCTCCCCCCGAGCCTTGTAAATCGCCGCAACGAACATGCTCCTGCTATGCGTTCCCCTGGTCATGTTGTTCCTCCTCGTCCTTCGTTTCTTCCTCGCTAACCTAGTCCTTTCCCGCCTCGTCCTCCCCCTCCTGCTGGAGTTCGGAGCCTGCCCGGCTGCATTGGAGCTGTCGCGTCGGCGTCCCGTCTGGGCCCATTCAGGCCCCTGCTTGCTCCCTACGACCTGGTCGCCATTGGAGGTGGACCATGATGAGAGGGAGGAGTAGGAGGAGGAGGCGGAGGAGGCGGAGGAGGAGGAGGAGGAGGATGGAAGGGGGGAGGACGAGGAGTACGAGGAGGAGGACGACGAGGATGAGCATGAGCAGAAAGACGACACTGATGATGAGAACGGTGGCGAGAATGGGGGGAAGGAGGCAGAAAAGCGGTAGTTGGAGAAGGAGAAGGAGAAGAAGGCGGAAGAGGCGTACCTGGTATCGCGGTCATTCGCCCTCCCCCCCTTCGTTCCTCCTATCCGATAAGAGCGTGGGAAAAAGCAGGAGCGACGGGGTAGGAGGAAGAGGTGAATGAGGAGGAGGAGAAGGACAATATGTTTCATGAGCCCGAGGACTCATGATTAAAGCAACGCCCAAGGCCCCACGTCGATGGTGAGGCCGTCTCTCTTCGGATGCTCACCTTTTGCAGGCCCGAGAGAAAACACAAGACTGGCTTATGGTGGCCGCATTACATTCCCTGTCCAAGCCTCGAACTTGGCCTTGTGATGCGTAGGACTGGCACTTCAGGCAAACTGCTATGAAGCTACCATCCCGAACAAGCAGGGAAGTAGGACTATGTCTGAGTTGGCGGAGGGCGTGCCCCTCGAGTCCCGAAGCACTTGTGCAAGCCTCGGAGGCTGGAGGGATTTAATACCGACCCACCTTTCCGAACTCGAACCAACACATGACAGATAGTGGGGCATTGGAGTGCGCCTTGAGTGCGGGGTGAAGCTTCCCCACTCGTGCGGAATAGACGCATCCGCTGCTTTTTGGAACTTTCTCTCGGGCACCCCAGGGGCACTCAGAGAGAGGTCCAGACGGGGCCATTGAAGAAAGATGTTCCCTTCCCGCTTTCGCAACCCTCGCCTGTATAAAAAGATGTGGGCCAGCTTTGCTTCAGACGCGGACGCAGGGCTGCGCCAGCACGTGCGACCGCGCCGGCAGCTTGGCTACCTATGCGCGTCCAGCGATCAGGAGCTCCCCGAAGCTTCCATTTCGCATCCCCGACCATGAACTCGGCGGCGATCTCGAGGCTGGTGGAGCGAATCCTGGTGATGTAAGCGTCTGCGCTTCGAAATTCCTGCAATCGCCTTTTTCACGTCGGGGGCGCAGTCTGCTTGCATGCCGCCCTCAGCGCCTGCCCGAGCCAGATGTTGTCGTTGTTCGTCCAGCGTGGGGCGGCAGGATCAAATGGCGTTGTAGCGTCTGCTCTTGTCGCCCGTAAATCGGCGAGACCAGAAACGCGGCAGGTCATGTATTTCTGCGTGGTGTCCCGCAGGTCTTGCTTTTCGGAATCCGACATGTGTCCGTGGGCAGCTCCCCGTCGTCGCGCCCACTGCCGAAGCTGGTAAGACGTGCGTTTGGTGCGCACGAGCACGTCGAGACGTGCATTTCTACATCTTGGATCCAAACCGTGTATTCGGAAATGTGAATCGGCCTCCATTCGAATTCTTTTCTAACATCGCCTGACAAGTCCAATGCGCCCACGTTGTAGACGGCGGCGCGCTGCGTCGGGTGGCCTTACCAGGCATTCCGAAGGGCTGGAACCCACCGGAACTATCTCAGCCCATGTGCCATACATAGTAGTAGATAAAAGTAGGTCGTTGCGCATTGCAAGTTGCAAGCAGGGAAGAATAATGTTTGGGCCTGCGCCGTCTGTTCGCGAAAAGCTTCCCCGTCACATCCTGACCGGAGAGCGGTTGCATTCTCGTGAGCATCAAAAATGGGGGGCTCGCGTCCTTTCCCCGGCATGTCCAGAGCATGGTCGCAGGGGGTGGCGGTTACGAACTGCTCTTCAAGCAACTTTGCAGTGGCGAGTTATATGACCTAGTCCAGAACGTGCTGCACGAATGTCCAATGTGGCTGCGTCGTCCTGGGCGCCGAGATACTCGGGGCCTGATGCGCGGGCTTGCTTTCCGGGCCATGGTGGCTAGGTCGAGCAACATCGTCGAAACGATCTCTCCAGACGTCTATAATTGTTTGATGCTGTAGGGCCCACTGTGGTTCTGGTCCACAGGGGCATCGTCTTCCCACGATCCAGAGCCCGACTAGACCGATTATGGGGGTGCTTCTAGCTCGACGCAGTGCGGCGTGGTGACGCGCGCGTTTCACGCCTGTCGGTGCTGTCGCGATGCGCACGATCTTGTTTCCGCCCGCCGCCGCGCACGGGAAGGGCGCGCGCGCGTGCGATGGCGATGTCCAGAAGCCCATGTGTGACATCGATTGCTCTGCAAGTTTCAGCGATATTGTGAGGTTGATAAACCACCGAGTACGTGTGTTTGCGTTTCAAACGGCGTCCTAGGATAATGCAGATGCCAATGCTTCGAATATTGTGCGGGGCGCGGGTCAATCCAAAATGAATTGCTGCGCGTTTCTCCCCCACTCCCTCCTCGCGGTAGCTCCTCCTGTATCATTTGCATATACTCGCCCCAGGCATCAGCTGGATGCCGCAGTCGAGATCATGTCAGATCTCGCGGGCGCGCCCCGCGGTGCACGCTGACTCCGGGTTGTAGAGAGCCACTCGACGCAGGCTGCACATGGACACCGGGGGCCCCTCGACTAGGCTCGACGCGTGCATCAGCGACCGAACATGGCAGATGAGAGGCGCCGACCGCTGAGTGGGCGTCTGGTTTCAAAACGCCGCCCCTGATTTCGTCTAGAGGGGGGCAGCGGCTGGCGAACGAGGAGAAGGAGCTGTCGGAGGACCAGTCGGGCCCCAACAGAATCCAGGCGCGCGCTCGTCGCCCACCCCCTTTTCCGCAAGCGCGAAGAAAGTAGAGACCCCGTGCTCCAGAACCCACCTCCCAAGTGGCGGTGTGTTTCCTGCCTGTTGCACTTTCACAACGTGAGCCACGGCGAAGGCGTCGATTTCGTTTCGTCGCGTCCGCAATTCTGAGGTCGGCGCCATGGGGCAACGCGAAGACTCTGGCATACTATGATGCCTTGGACTGGCCCGAACCCCTCGCGTTCCCTGGCTTCGCCGCTCCGAGCGTCGCCAGCATCGGGCGCGTTCCCCTTCGCGCGCGCGACCCGGTATCAGCGCCGCGGCATTTGTTATGCGCGGGTTCGTTCGATTCAGATAGAGCGGGGCGAGCGGTCTACCCGCGTCCGCGACAGAATCCGGCGCGGCGGAGGAACGCGACCACCTCTTCGTTCGAAACCTCTCTTACTGAATGACCAAGTGCAGACACGCGCAAGCAAAAGGCGCCAGGGGCCATGAATGGAAAGAAGCGACGGACGACGCTACCGGCGGCAATCTCGCTGATGGCGTGGATGACCAGCGCCGGTAACTGCTAGACAAAATGTTAGCAATCCGTTGGTGAACCCAGATAGACACGGCCATTTTGCCAAGTGTCCGAGGCAAGCGTGGTTTGTCCCGACTGCAATCCGATGCAGGCCCTTGTCTCCCGACCCTTTCCGAGATATGGGGAATCATTGGGTGCGCCCTCGCTGCGCTGGAAGAGGCGCCCATTGCTTGCCCTGCGCGTCATGAGCTGCGCCTCTAGCCCCCCGAGGTTATCCTGCGCCCGCAGGTTAATCTGGGCGCCGCCCGCGCTGCACTTCGGGCTCGCAGGCTTGAGAGGCCCCCGCGCCCGCGAGCTCGGCGGGCGCGCGGCGCGGATTGGATCTGGACCTCGCCCCGCGCCTGCCTCCGATATTGCTGAGGCTCCACGGCCGCTGCCGCCGACCCTGAAGGCCTTGGCCCTCGAGCGCAGCAGGATGGTCGACGAGAGATCTGAGCTAGAGAGTGGGCCGAGGAGGAGGGGCAGGGGGGGGGCGAGGAGGGGGCGGAGGAAGAGGGGAGGGGGCGGGGGGGAGGAAGAGCAGGAGGAGGAGGAGGAGGAGGAGGAGGAGGAGGAGCCGGGGGGAAGGAGGGGGGGGGAGGCGAACGTGGGAGGAGGAGGAGGAGGAGGAAGGAGGAGGAGGGGGAGGGGGACGGGGGAGGAGGAGGGAGAGGGGGGGGGAGGAAGAGGAGGAGGAAAAGGAAGGGGGGTCCCCAGCCATTTTGGCTGAAGTAATCCATTTCCCCAGGCTGGCCCAGGGGGGCCGACCGCCCTGAGAGGCCCCGGAGACGCCCCGGGACAGCTGGCACGAGCGCGCCTTTCCATATCCATTTGCTTCCGCGTGCTGTTAGTGCCCCGGGCGGCGCCGGGAGATCCGCGCAGTCATTCTTATTCTTTCGCGATGGATGGGCGGCGCTTTCCTCGGCGACAGGAAGAAGTCTGGGGTGAGAAAGGCTGTGGGCAAGGTGGTAAAGGTCGCGGCAAAGGAGGACGGGGGCCGCCCCCGAAACGCACTTCGCCCCGTGGGCCCCGTGAGCCTGCGGCTGTTTTGGAGGGCCCAGGCAAGCGATGGCAGCGTGCCCTTTGCGGGTGCAAGAAGAACCTCGCCACCTGCGCCCACTGCAAACACTGTCGGGATTGGAGGACGGAAGCCCCCACTGATGTCGCGACATCTGCCCTGCCCGCTCATGCTGACAGTCGTGGTCGCAAAGGGCCGCGAGGAGCCGCGCGCCGCGCCGTGTCGGCCCAAGGGGGGGGGGGCTGTCCCCCCGCTGGTCGGGCCGAGTGGCAGGCCGCTCGCGCCAGGGGGCCTTCGGTCGAGGAGGCCGGGCCCTCCGTCGACGTGGCTGAGCGGATGGGCGACGCTGTCGCGGCGACCAAGTGCAACGCTCAGTTGCTCGCAGCCCAAGAACGTGCGCAACGCCGTCGCGAGCGCATCCAGGGGCTCGAGGAGATGCTGGGCTCCGAGGTGGACAAGCTGGAGCAGTGCCAGGGTTGGGCCACCGCGCAGGCGGCGCGCGCGCGGGGGCTCGAGGCCACCCTCCAAGACGCCGACGCGGAGCGCGCCATGATCGCGTCGGAGCTTGCGGGGGCGGCGGCCATGGGCGTCGACGAGTCAGGGGCCAGAGGGGCCCCCGCCGCCAAAGTTCCTCTTGCAGAAGTGGTGGACGGCAGCAAGGACGTCGCTGGCCTCGTCGACTTCGAGGGGTTCTTCAAGGTCGGGGATAAGTTGGAGCTTGCACATGAGGGCCGTCGCGAGATGGGGCCCAAAGCAGGCAGCCACCAAAGGTTTCTTTCAGTCCGCCAAGAAGCAGGCGGAGAGCACCATGGCCGAGCACGCGGCACATGCGCAGCGGCTCGGGCGCAAGCGTGTCCGTCGAGAAGGGCCCCCCGAACCTGCTGGGGGAGCAGGAGGTGGCCGGGCGGGGCCAGGAAGCTCCCCCGACTACGGCGCGCCCAGCGCACTTGTGGAGAGGCTGCCACTCCAGGGGCGGCGCCACAAGGAGCGCCTGCGGCCGAGGCAGGAGGCAAGCCGAAGGCATCATTAGCAGCCGATGTTCGCGCCCGCTCTGCGCGCGCTCTCGGCGGCAAGGCCGCCCCATCAGGCGGGGCGGGCGCGGGCGCAGATGACGGCGAGGGCCCCCCCCCCCCCCCACCCCACCCCGCAGGGCGCGATGGAATCCGACGGTCTGGACTTCGTGGGCGCCGACGGGGGGGAGAACGGAAACTATTTCTATTCGAATGATTTCCTTTACTTCGTCCCTGGCGGCGGCGGCGGCGAGCCGACCGTGGGCGACTGCGCGGCCGCGGCGGCTGCGAGCGCCTCCGCGCCCACCCCCCTTGCGATTGCGATCCCAGGGGTAGATCGGCCAGGGGCGCAGCGCTGAGGAACGCGGACATCGATTTCAGTGGGCAGAGCAAGGATCTTTCAGCTGATGTCGTTTTTGTAGCGGACCCAGGTTGCCAGGGCCCCCAGGGGGCGTCGAGCGGGGCGACTGCGCCCCTCGTCGATCGGCGTCGGACGCGGCCCCTAGACAGGCGCCCCCCTGCCCATAGTGCGCGCGGCGCTTTGGCTCGCGCCAGTCCGAGTGGCAGCGAGCCTGGAGTCAGCGGCCCGCGCGACTCACTGGGCGCGGACCGCGCCGTTGTTTTTCCTGTGCCGCTCAGTCCCAGGCCCCGACACTTGGGCCCGCCGACGCGTCGCCGCATGCAGGACGCGGCTTTGTGAAAAACTTGGGGCCGGGTCGTTCAACGCCAGCGCTGCAGTTTCTTCCAGGCGCGAATCAAGGGCGGGCCGGCCGGCAGCCAACCCGACGTCCAGTCTCAGCCAGACGGCCAGCTCTCAGCCATTTTCCAGCCTGGCGCCCCCTCGCAGCCACCAGAGGCGGCGAGGAAGGAGGGCAAGCGCAGCTCGCTTCGCGTTGAAATTTGCAACTGCTCCGCGCTCGGCTCATTGAAGCGATGTCTGGAAGCGGGGACAGAGGCGTCTGCGATTTGCCTCCAAGAGCTGACCCCCATGCCGTCCGAGAAGGCGGAGGTGGAGGCCACGCTGGGGAAGCAGGGGCGGTCGGTTTGCCTGCGCCCGTCCATCGCCACGGACGCTGGAGGACTGCCCTGCGGCGTTGGAATCGCGGTTCGAAATCGCATCGGGGCGGGCCGTCCCCCCCCCCCCCCCCCCACACCTCCAGGGCCCCCCCGGCCCCCCTCGGGCGCATTCTTACTTGGGTCCCCCCCGGGGGGGGGGATAGGTCTTTCATTCTGAGCAGGATCGGAGAAACCCTTTATTCACTTGGCGTTCCCTTACTGCTTAGGGAAACTGGAACTGCGAGCCTCAGACCTTCCGTGAGGCTGGATGGGTGGAGAGGCTCGGAGGGCAGGTCGCTGCCCCTGTCGTTTTCACTTGTCGCTCAGCGGCCAAGCGCTGGAAAACCATTGGCCACTTTGTTTGCTCGGCGGCTCTGGCGCCGACGCCCAAGGACATAGGCAGGAATGATGAGGCGACGACGAGCCCCCAGAGGCCCGTCGGGGCCACGCTGCAAGGGGACCCTCGCATCGATCAGGTTTGGGTTTTGCCGCGGCCTCGGCCTTTCACTTTGGACGACCCCCCGGGCCCGAGGCCCAGGCCGCCTGACTACACGGCCAGTCTCGATATGGCTGAAGTCCAGGGGGGGCCCCAGTCTCTCGGCATGTGCTTTGATCGTTGCCTTTCGTCCTTGGAGCAAGAGTTAGGAGGCGTTTATCAAGTGCAAGACCAGGCCTACTTCGGACGGGGAAAGCCCGAGCGACTCAGGAAGGCCCCGGCGCTTCGCACGTCAGGAGGCGCGCCCCCCCGGGGTGCATTCTATCTCGGGGCCAGCGGGACGTTAGCATTTGGCCCCGCGAGCTTGGGCGCCTGATGGCCAAGGGAAGCACCTGGGGTTCGACTGAGTCGCAACATCTAGCCAGTAAAGTTTTCAAAGGGCCCAGCAGCCTTAGGAACGATGCCGTATGGCTGAGCTGGGAGCCGCTCTTCGAGGAAGTTATTTTCGCCTGCTCCGAGCAGGGCCTCGCGGCTCTCAGAGGCGAAGCGCGCGAGATGGTCGAGCGCTGAGAGCAGCGGCACAAAAGTGCCAGAGGGGGTAGATGGCGGGATTGGGTCCAAGAGGCCGCCAGCGATGGGGGGGGGCTGCGCGCAAGTACAGCAAGGCCCTCTATAGGATGGCAGCCTGCGCCTGCGATGCCCGGCACCCCCTCCCCTGGCCCTGGGGCCCTCGTGGGCCAGATGCAAGCTGTTTGGGGAGATGAGTAAACCCCGCCAGCTGGCGCCTCGGCCTTGCCTGAAGCCACCCCCTTTTCTGGGCGCTAAGATTCGGGAACTCAGCAGCGTTGGTGGCGCGTGCGCTGCTGCCCCAGCCAGGCGCGCCCTAGCCGAGGCGCGGGCAGCCGCCAGCAAGTCGAAGGGGCGCGCGGCGCTTGGGTCGGACACCGTCCACCCACGAGACTTGCCGATGGGTTTCAGATGACCGTCATGAAGCCTTGCGCGCGCTCTGGTGTTGGTGCGAGTCCCTGGGGCAAGTGCTGAGCCAGCTCGCGCCCGCGTTCACGTCACTCCCCAAAAAACCAGACGGAGGGTTCAGACCCATAGGCCTTCTGCCAGGAATATGTAGGGTGCTCGGTGAAGTCGCGCGCAAAGAGGCTGTCGCGCGGGAGTCCAGACAAGGCAGAGGGTACCATTATGTTGTTGCTGGCAAGAGCTGCGAGCGTGCGGCCTGGGAACAAACGCAAGCCATCGAGCATGGTAGTTTGGGAATAGCACTGGGGCTGCCCTGATCGACCTCACCAGAACGTATGAAACAGGTGCTCCACATTCTGTTGGCCCACGCGGCCGTTAGACATAGGTTCCCCTGAGTCAGGCCAAGGCTTTGACTCTCCATGTACCAGGCCCCCAAGATGCTCCAGATGGGCCAGGCTTTCTCTGGGGCGATCGACGCGGGCCAGGGCGCAGTCGCAGGCTGCGCGTTTGCGACCAGCCTCATGAAGCTCATCCTCCTTGCCCCTGTCGCCGCCATGATTTTACACTTGCCGAGCATCCGCGTTTAATGTGGTTGACGACCACACCTTGTTCGCGGCAGGAGCGGTCGCCTACCTTGGTCGGCGGCTTGGCGCTGCGGCGAGTTACCTCCTCTCCCAGCTCCAAGGCCTTCTCTACTTGTGACTTCCAGGGACCAGGGGGTGGCCGTGGTCACGGACGGAGCAGTTGGAGCTGGAGTGTTAAAACGCATCAGGTCCTGGGGGTTCAAGCTAGCGTCGGCCGCCAACAACCTCGGTTGAGTTGTCGCTCAGGAAGCGGCGGCGGTCTGCGGGAGCGTAGAGGAAGAGGATCGCTGCGGCGATGCCGAGAGTCAGGCGCTTCCGCGGGCTGCGGTCGCCCTTCCGCGGGGCCACCCGCACGGTCAACACGGGGGACCTGCCCGCGGCGATGCGCGGTGGAGGCGTCGTTGGCATCGCAGGTGCCCGTCTCAAGAAGCCCAGATCCGCGCTGGGGCAATCGATGTTTGGAACCCCCAAAGGGCGCTCGAGGACGTTGGAATTCCAGTTAGGAGGGGGCCCAAAAGCCGGCTCCACCTTTGCGGCTAACGCCGCGCCCCTCTTGATGCGAAGTTTGGCCCTGCACGGTGGCTGGGCCCCAGCGGCTCTGATGAAGAAGAGGTTCGATGCTGTTGTCCACGCCTCGGGGTTCGACTGGGGGCAGGCGACGGTGTCCGCTGGTGCGGTTTTGTGTACTCTTCGTCGCCTCGGCTGGACGGTTCGAGGTCATCGCGACTGGGTCACCTGCCGCGGTTTCGCGGTCGACCCTGGGACCTTGGGCAAGAGGACCCTGAAGTATTTGATTGAGCAGGACACCCAGAGAGGGTTGACGGGCAAGGTTGACGGGCTTTCTGCTGGGCCCCTCCTCCAGCCGATGGTCAAGCAGCTCCAGTCTCTCAGAGCGCCTGGCCGAGGGGTAGAAGCCGCGTTGGTCGCTGGAGTTGCGCCAGGGGGCTACGCCACGCAGCGCTGTCTTTTTGAGGACAGCCGCGCCCTCAGCCCTTTGCGCAGGTGGTGCGGGGCCTTCACTGGCGCGCCCAAGCGCGGATTTGTCGGCTGCGACGGCAGCAAGCTCGCGCGGGAAAGCCTCGACATTGGAGATGTCCTGGGGCTCGGGGGTACCCGGGGAGAGTACGGCCCAGGGGCCGCGAGGGCCTTCTTCCCCAGCCCTGAGTGAATTTGGCCGGCCCCCCGAGTCGATGCTGGGCTCGCGTGGATGCCCCCCCCCCCCCCCCCCCCTCTGGCACCCTAGACACTGGCAAGGTGTGTTCTTGCGGGTCCGCGGTGGGCCCTGACAGCGACATCTTTGCCCGCGCGGGCTGGGGGGCAAATGTGGTCGGGCCCCTGCATGCCCTTCCCCCCCCCCCCCCCCCCCCCCGCACCCGCTCCAATCGGCGGGGGGGGGGGGGAGTTGTGCGCCTTCCTCGTGGCTCCTAGGCGTTTGGGGCGAGGACCATCAGAGTTCGTCGCGGGTTGTAAGATGGCCCTCGACGCGCGGGCCATGGGGGCCGACCAGGATCTCACCAATGTGGCCTTTGCTGAAATCTGGTGCGACATGTTTGCCAATGCGAGGGATGTGGGGATGCACCAGGTTTCGGTCAGCAGGGTCAGAAGTCATTTATCTTGGGGCCAGGTCTTGGACCGCGGGGTCCGTTGCGGGGTGCGGGCGGACAACCGAGAGGCTGACATATTGGCCAGATTGGGAGCAGAGTTGCGACCCCGCGACCCTGATGCGCGTCTGCGGCATGCCGAACAGAAGCGGTTGGTGGGCCAGGGCGCGTGCCTCATCCATGAGACGATGAGGCATCTTTCCAAGCTCGGGCGTCCAGATGTCGAGCGGGTCCGAGCGAGGATCAAGGGGCGTCCTAGTCGTTTCGAGCTGGTGCCAGATGCGCTTGGTCACCGACTGAACCGCCTCGGTCCCAGAGGACAATATGTCCGCGCGCTGCGCGGAGAGTCTGGCAGTGGGATAGGCGCATAAATCCGCGTGCTCAGGGCCCCCGCGAATCGCGAGGATGGCCCACCAGTCCATCTCCCTGCGCATCGGCGGTGGCAGGCTCGCGCGGCGCACGCGGCGCGGTGCTTTCGGGGCTCAGAGATCCCAGTATCTTTAGGGGTCCTGCAACGGAGGCCCCAGAAATAAGGGCGCCTCCGTCGGCTCGAAGAAGCCGAGGCGGGGCCTCGACCCCCGCTCAGGGGCCAGCGGAGGAGCGAACCCCTCACGCACCTTCTAGGCTGAGGCAGCCTGGCGGATGCGGTCGTCGTCGTTTCCCGTCGTCGCCGTCGTCGTCGGCGTCGGCGGCCCGACATCGACGGCTTCGCCGCCGGGCGCGCCCAGCCTCTCTCTCTTTGTTTCTCTCGTGGCGAGTGTTGCTGGGCAGGACTTGCTGCGCATAGGACATAGAGAACACAGAAGGAGAGAAGGACAGGGGGGGGGAGGGGGGAGGAGGAGGAGGAGGAGGAGGAGGAGGAGGAGGAGGAGGAGAGGAGGAGGAGGAGAGGAGGAGGGGGGACGAGGAGGAGAGGAGGAGGAGGAGAGGAGGGAGGAGGAGGATGTGGAGAGGGTGAGTGGGGGCCTCAGTGAGAAATCAATCACACAACCCCTGCGATAGCATTCTGACCCGGGCCCCCCCCCCGGCCCCCCCCCGGGTCTGCCCCGGCCCCCCCCCCGGCAGGGGAAGGGACAGGGAAGGGGCTTCCTTGCGATGTGGTTACCACGTTCGATGTTCTCTCCCGTTGCGACGACGACGAAGACGACGACGACGACGACGACGACGACGACGACGACGACCACGACCACGACCACGACCACGACCACGACCACGACAGCGATCACGACGACGACGATGACGACGACGACGACGACGTCGACGATCGGCGCAGCCCCGGTCAAACGCCGAACAGGGTCGGCGGACTGTTGGCGCCCGCTCTAACGCCCAGAATATGTTTTACCTTCTTCTTGATAAGTGTCCCCGCAGCGATATAACATGGCGTGCCGGCATTGCTGGGCAACGTCTGATAGGCGCACAAGTCGTTTGACATACCATGCGATTTTTCTACCCGTGCCCCAGCCGCGACGCTGGACTTTCTCGCGGGCTGACAACCCAGAAATGATTGAATGGTAATATGATCGAATTCCAGATGGGCCAGAGTGAATGTCTAAGTCGTCCCCATAGTCTTCTCACCTCCATCAGGGGCGCGGGCGGGTTCTGATTCAAAGAGGGGAGCCCGTCGTTGTCGCCAGCGCCACCGCGGCCGGCGCCGCGGCGCGGGCTACGCTGACGAGAGCGATGGCTGAGTTCGAAGACGAAAACGAACATTGCCATTTCATCTGGCGCGCCCCGCGCAGACCCACTGCGTTGGCCGCGAGTCCCCGAAGCTTCAATTTCGCATTCCCGACCACAAACTCGGCGGCGATCTCGAGGCAGGTGGGGCGCGCCCTGGCGACGTCGGCGGCCGCGCTTCGAAGTTCCCGCAACCGTCTTTTCACGTCTGGGCCGCAGTCTGCTTGCGCGCTGCCCTCAGCGCCTGCCCAGGCCAGATGTTGTCGCAGTTCGTCTAGCGCGGGGCGGCGGGATCACGTTGCATCGCAGCGCCTGCTCTTGACGCCCGCAACGCGACGAGGCAGGGGACGCGGCGGCTCGCGAACTTCAGCGCGGTAACCCGCAGGTCATGCCTCTCGGAGTTCGGCGCGTCGTCGATGTCCGTGGATAGTTTTCCGCCGTCGCGCCCGCTAGCGAAGCGGGCAAGAAGCGCGCTTTTCGCGCACAAGCACGTCGAGACTTGCGCTGCTGGATCCAGACTGGACATTCGGAAATATCCAGCGGCCCCCTTAGGAAACACTGTTCCTCACTTGACATGTCCAACGCGCCCATGTTGTAGACGGCGGCGCGCTGCGTCGGGGGCCGCAGTCGGCGCCCTGAAGAGTCGCAACCCACGTGACTTCGCGCTTTCTGCCCGTGCGCCATCGTAGAAGCAAGGTATGGTGTTGCGCGTTGCAAGCAAGGGAGACTGAACCTTGGGCATGCGCCGCCTGCTCGTGAACAGCTACTCGATCACGCCCCGCATGGAGGGCTCTCGCGAGTTTCCGACGGCCACGCCAGGTCGCATGTTCGTGGGCATCGAGAATGGACGCTTGTGTTCCATGCTCGAAAAGTCCAGGACATGGTCTCGGGGGGTGCTCTTCGGGATCAGTTGGCGGTGACAGCCTTCTCTCCAAGCAACCTCGCAGCGGCGAGTTCTATGATTCAGTCCAGTAAGCGCTGGGTGAAGGTCGGGCGTGGCTTCGCCGCCCTGGGCGCCGAGATAGGTGGAGCCCGATTGCGTGGAGTAGGCTTTCATGGGCCGCGGTGGCTAGGTCGAGCAACATATTCGAAGCCAACTCTCCAGACGTTCACATATGTTGGATTTTGCAGGGCTCAGTGCGGTCCTGCTCGGGGTCCACAGGGGCGTCGTCTTCCCAGGGTCCGAAGTCCGAGTGGGCCGATGATTGGGGCGCTTCTAGCTCGACATATCCCGGCCTGGTGACGCAAGTGATTCATGACTGGTGCGGTGATGATATGTGTGCGAGTTTTGTTCTGTCCGTCGCCGTTTCCGGGCGGGGCGCGCGCGCGTGCGATGGTGATGTCCAGGAACCCAGACTCTACGTTGATAGCTCAATCTATTCCAACGATATTGCGAGGTCCAGGAGCCACAGCGTATTTGCTTACGCTTCAAACGGCGCCCTAGTACAATGCGGATGCCGGCGCTTCAAATTTCGCGCCGTGCGCGGTTCCATCCAATTTGATGTTCCGTACATGTGTCCCCCACATCCTCAATTCGGTAGCTTTTTCCCGTCCTATTCTCGCATTCTCGCTCCAGGCATCAACGCGATGCCATAGCCGAGATCGCGTCTGATCTCGCGGGCGCGTGCCACGGTGCATACTGACTCTGGGTTGCAGAGAGCCATTCGACGCAGGCTGCGCATGGGCACCAGGAGCCCTTCGACTAGGCCCGCCACATGCATCTTCGCATAGAGGGGGGGAGAGCGACTGGCGATGGGGGAGGGGGCGGAGCTGTCGGAGGACCAGTCGGGCCCCAACAGAATCCAGGCGCGCGCTCGAGCAGAGCACGAAGAAAGTAGAGACCCCGAGCTCCAGAACGCACCTCCCAAGTGGCGGCGCGTTTCCTGTTTGATTTTCACAGCGCGAGCCAAGGGCAAAGTGCCGACTTCGTTTCGTCATGCTTACAATTCTAAGGTCGGCACGTTGGGGCAACGCGCAGAGTCGCGCACAATCCGGCGCCCTGGATTGGCCCGAAACCCTCGCGTTCCCGGCTTCGCCGCTCCGAGCGCCGCCAGCATCGCGCGCGTTTCCCCTCGCGCATGCGACCGGATATTGGCCGACAGTATGTTTCATGCGTGGGTTCGTCTGTTCATATATGAGGGGGTGTATGATCTACCCGTGTCCACGGCAGAATGCGACGCGGCAGCGGAGCGCGACTACCCCTGGCTCGACCCTACTCTTATCGAGCTGCAAAGTGCAAACACGCGTCAGCAAAAGGCGTCGTGGGTGACGACCAGGAAGAGACGACACACGACGTTGCCAATGGCAACCTCGACGATGGCATAGAGGGCCAGCACCAGTAAGTGCTAAAGAAAGTGCGTCGCAGTTCATTGGTGAACGACGACCTGCTTGGATAACGTCATCAGTGAACCATTTCACATACGCAGTATCGACAGACGCCGCTTCAATAAGCAAAGCATCGGCATCCAGTGCTAAGGATACCAGTTGCATCAAAACCACCCGACCCTGTGGTCCATCAGTACGGTTTGGTAGACTACCCACAGATTTGTCGCCCTTGCACCAAGTGCGAATAAGGTGCAACAAGTCGCATCGAACACAACATCAGGGTCTGTTGTAACAGTACCAGCAGACCAGCCACAACCACATTCAGCACACGCAGCACCGTGACTGAACAACCAAGAACCAGGCCACAGTAAAACCTATTACCCAGGGCTGTACCGAACCGATCCAAAACAAATTGTAGTATCACGGGCCACCTTCGAATCGGATGACAATCTCGATGGGCATGTATTCCGTTCCCGAAACGCAAGCCGCCGTGTTGAACGCTCGCTAAATCAAATCATTGCGGCGTCCATGCGTCTGGCAATCATCTGGGCACCCTGAGGCCGCAGACCACATACATGAGCAAATGGAAGGTGAGAGGGAACAATACAGCGAAGGTGGGGCGGAGGAGAAGTGGGAGGGGGAGAAGTAGGAGGAAACGTATGAGATGAAAGTTTCAACAATATGAGAAGGATGGGGAGGACACGGATGATAGGAAATGCGAGGACGTCGGACAGACCAGGGAACGCGACGATGAATGATGATGCGCTTTCTGCACAGCTAGTCATGCAGGAATGCTCCCAGGAAAGGTAGCGCGCCAGCTTACCGTCGGCGGCATTGCGCGCTTTCGCGCGGGCATGGCAAGTGCGCGGGGGCGCGGCTAGATCAGCCTGCGAGGTCCACTTTGAGTCCGCGTAGAGCGTCTCTCTGCTGGACTCTCAGGGGCGCAGGAAAGCCGTGGCAGCTGCACGCCTGGCAGCATCCATGGGAGCCGAGGGCCCTGTTGGGTTCGCATAGGACATTATAGCGTTGGCACCCTTGCGGGCGCACGAAAGTCTTGACATTTGCACGCCCGGCAGCACTCAGCGGGGGTTCAGTCAGGCCCGTGTGCGACGCCCTTGCGCTGGAACCCTTAGGGGTTCAAAACAACAGTGGCACTTGCACACTTGGGCGTTACCCGTGGGAGGCAAGGTCTCGTCCGGGCCCATTGGATGCCATTGCGCTGGCGCCATCGGAGTCTCGAGAAAGTGGTGACACTTCCACGCGTGGCACCACTCAGCGAGGTGAGGTCCCGTTTGTGCCCCCGAAGGGCGTCCTTGCGCTGGACCCCCAAATGGCGGATGAAAGTTTTGATCTTGGAGCGCTTGGCAGCTCCCTGGAGAGGCGAGGTCTCGTTTGGGCCTGCGTCGGACGTCACTGCATTGGAACACTTTTGTGGATGAGATCAAGCTGGCTAGCTACCACCTCAAGTGGGCAATTGAAGGAGGTACTTGAAACAGTCAGCATCGCATCTAACAGATCTTCTGCAGAGCTCCTCGCCTGGCACCGAGGTGTTGCCCTCTTCTCAACTTGCACTCCTCAACGTTCCCTCTATCCCCGCCGTCACCGTCCTGAGCCCGCTCCTCCTCATCCGCACCCACCGCAAGGGACAGATGGACCCACTGCGTAGAGCGATCACGCTCTGCCCTCCTCCCCAGATGTCCGACGCCGCATTGTCCCCGAATCCCGAGTCTCTGTTGAAGGTCTTCAGGGTCGAAGAAGAGGGCCCTTGGAGGCCGAAATTGCCGAGAGAGTATTCTTTGGCCGAAATTGCCCGAAGACGCTGGCCGTGTTCATTCGCGACCCCAGGAGTTCAGTGTCTTCCTCTTGCCCCCGCTTGCCCTGCCCTCGGTCGCGCCCGCCCGCCCCCCCCCCACCTGGAAGGGGGTGGGGCTTGGCTCCGTCGCGCGCCCCTCGCGCAGACTCCCGAGTCGGCCCTGCACCCGCTCGTGAGCGGGCCCACGATGACGAGGGAGACCTGGAGGCGCGGCGGAGGGGACTTGGGGCTGCGAGGTTTCGCGTTGAGGGGATGGCCCGTGATGGGCCTTGCCCGGATCGGTGTCGGAGTGGGGCTGTCGATTACGCACGAGGGTGGCCATTCGCCAGAGTGACCTCGAGTGTGGGACCCACATGGGTCCCCCCAGCATTGTCTTGCGCGTTTTTCGGTTTGGCCCGACTGCGGCCCGATACAGCCAAGACGCTGAAACATGGATCACTTTGGGTTCAGGAGGGGCTCAGGTCTATTTGGCCGTTCCTTGAATCTAGGTCGGGGTACATATTTGTCGAGACTGGCAATGGCCACACAAGTCCTGTCGCTCCTCATACAGCGCTTATTCTGGCAGCACGACGGCCGTAAACCCGCGTGCCAAAGGTCATTCTTGCCCAGGGTCACACTTTGTGCGTAGCCGAAGGTTGGGGCCCAAACGGTGACGCGGAAGATTTGGATGTACGGCGGTTTGGTAGGGGGTTTGGAGGCTTCGAGGCTTCGGCGGTCTTAGGACGTCTGGCAGTATGCGGTGCCAGAGTGTGTTTCCATTGCGGTGACGGTGGCGAATTCGTGGGCACTCTGTTGCATGTTTTCGGACAGGGTATCGCCCGATTGCGTTGCACACGCACTCATTATGATGATATGATTATTTGTTCTTCCAGCTTTCCATGTGCCCGGTGCTGCGTCACCCTCGTTGGCAGCAGTTGCAAGGCCGTACTCATAACTCATAGTTATGTTAGTGGTGTATGTTGTTGATTCGGCGCGTGGTCGGATTGACAAAGTGAACATTGAAGCGTTGAACATTGAAAATCTCGATCCCTGGGTTGCGGATTGAAAACTGAGAAATCTACAGTTTCAATCTTAGGGTCGTGGATGGAACAATTGAAACATATCCATGAGTTATGTTTTTCAATGTGGCGGGATGTGGATTGATATGTGTAACACTGTGATTTTCAATTCGGGCGCGTTCGCACCTCATATTTTTCTGTGGAGCAGGTCGGCGCAGGGGACCGAGTCGAACAAGCGGAACACTAAGGTCTATTGTGTTCTCGCAGCAGGGTCAGCGATTCGAAGTGAGTCGGGCGGGCGAGGCGCTAAATTGTGTTGATCTTTGTTGCGTGTAGTCAGGCGACGCAGAGCTAACGGGCGACACGGGTCGGGCGGGCGCAACATCACAGTGTTGTGTCGGGTCTTTGTCGATTGCGACTGGGCGACGCAGGGCGAACGAAGCAGTTCGAGTTTGGCGGACTGCAAATTAAAATGTAATGCACTTTTCCGAACCAGGGCCAACGGGGCAGATTGGGTTGGGCGGGCGGGACTCTGGTGCTCTCTCGAGCGTGGCAGGGTGGAGCGGGGCCAACGAACGAGAGGAATCGGGCGTGCGAAACATTGAAGTGTAGGACCCTCTCGAGGGTAGTCTGGCGGCGCGGGGCACACGAGCGCGTCAGGTCGGGTGAATAGAATTTTAAAGTGTCGGGTCTTGTCCCTTGTGGTCGGGCGAAACGAGACCAACGGGGCAGTGCGGGTCGGGCGGGCGGGAACAAAAAAGTATGGGGTTCTCTATCGCGTGTGGCCGAGCGAAGCGGGGCCAACGGATCAGAGCGGGTCGGGTGGGCGGGATTTTAGAGTGTGTAGTTCTATATCGCGTGTGGTCGGGCGGAGCGGGCCCAGCGAACGAGGAGCTCCTTGTCGAGTGTGGTCGGGCGACGCGAGGCCCACTGGCGCGGCGGGCTGGGCGGAGGGGACATTAAAGTGTAGGGCTCTCCTGGGAATTGGCCGGGCGGAGCGAGGCCTATGTGGCAGGGCGGCGCGGGCGGGCGGGAACAATCAAGTATGGGGCGAGCGATGCGGTGCCAATGGATCAGAGCGTGTCGGTTGGGCGGGATTTTCAAGTACGGGGTTTTCTATCGCGTGTGGTCGGGTGGAGCGGGCCCAGCGAACGAGGAGGGTCGGGCGCAGGGTTGCCTCTCCGGTGTGATCAGGCGAGGCGAGGCCCGCGGGCGCGGCGGGCTGGGCGGACGGTACATTAAAGTGCAGGGCGTCTCTTGTGGTCGGAAGGAGCGGGTCTCACGAAGGAGGCTAGCTGGGCGGGCGGCACATTAATGCGTGGGACTCTCTATCGCCCTTGGTCGAGCGGATGGCGGCATGCGGGGCAGGGTGGGTTGGGGAGGAGAGAGGAATATTCAAGTGTAGGCCTCCCTCGTGCATGCACGGGAGGATCTGGGCCAACGGGGCAGGGCGTGTCAGGCGAGCGGGGCATTCAAGTATAGGACTCTCTCTCTCGAGCATGGTCGGGTGACGCGAGGCGCGCTGACAGGGCGGGTGGACAGGGGGAGGGATGCAAGGGTGGGTGGGGCGAACGGGTCCTACCGATCAGGGGGGCGGGGCCCTGTCACATCTGGTTGGGTAGGGCGGGTCACGCGGGCGAGACAGTAAGGTGCGGCATCCCGAGAGGTTCCTATGAGGGTTTCGCACTCGCGGCTTCCAGAAGGTTTTGTCGCGGACGTGGTTTTCACGAGGGTTTGGGATGCGCACTGGGCGCTGGCCAAAACCATCGGGAGAACCACCTTGGTCAAAACCATCGGGAGAACCAAATTGGTCAACACCATCGGGACAACCACATTGGTCACACCATGGGGAGAACGACGACGGTCAAAATCGACGGAAGAACTGCATCGTTTGAAACCATTGGGAGAATTGCGCCGGTGGAAACCTCTGGAGCGTCCACGCGGATCACAATCACCGGGAAACCATGTCTGTCAAACACAATCGAGAGAACCACACACGTCGGTGAAAATCATCGGGGGGACCACGGTGGTCAAAACAATCGGGGGGAACACGTCGGTAACAAGCCATCGGGAGATCCGCGTTGGCCAAAATCAGCGAAGTAACCACGCTGGTCAAAACAGTCGGGGGGGGTCGTTGGTCAAAACCATCCCGCGAACCCTGTTGGTCAAAACCATCGGGAGAACCGCGTTCGTCAAAACTATCGAGGGGACCACGGTGGTCAAAACAATGGGGGGAACCACCTTGGTCAGTCAAAACCATCGGGAGAACCACGTTGGCCGAATCTCAGGAACCACGTTGGTCGAAACCATCGGGGGGGTCCACGTGGGTCAAAACCGTTGGGAGAAACCGCGCTGGTCAAAGCCATCATGAAACCCACGCTGGTCAACACCATCGGGGGGTTTAGTCAAAACCATCGGGAGCAACCGCGCAGGTCAAAACCATCGGGAGAACCACGCGAACCCACACAATCGGGGGGAACCCGTTGGTCAAACAATCGGGAGAATCATGTTGGACAAAACCATCTGGGAGAAAACGTTTGGAAATTGGAGGGCGGACGACGACAGGACAGCTGGAGCCTCCCCGAGACAGCTGGCGTCCTCCCGAGATCTTGGCTAATCTGAGAGCCGCCTACGCCCTACCGCGCAGACAATCACGGAAATAACTCGCGGCCGCGGCGGGCCGCAGACGAGCTACCACCAGCAATAGATTTGCAATGCCACGCCCCGCATCCAGAGTAAACCTCGATTGGCCACGGGCCCATCTAAATGCTGGCCGCCGCGCCCCTCGGGCGGCTCAGCGCCAGCGGCGGCCTGCTGGGGTTGCGCGGCAGCGGCGCGGGCGCCTGCCGCAGCGCCATGCCGCGCCACGCCGGCCCTGCCTCATTCCCCCGAGTCTGTCCGGACGATGTCCGGCCTTCTCTTTGCATTCACATGCTATCAAACATCGACATGGCTCATATGCGTTGAGACTCGTAATGTCCTCGTGCCCCGAGCAAGCACTCCTGCCACGCTGCTTGCCGAACTCCTACTCGCCTGATCTCCACAGTGCAACTTAGCAATCCCAGCTTCAGAATTGACGCAATAGAACATACCTGGTAGGTTGCCCACATTTGAACACGGAGGCCAAGGATTGAGAACTGAAATGTTTAAGAAGTGAAATATCATAGGTGCTTCAATTCTTCATTTCGGAGACCAAGGATTGAGCATTGAATGCTTGGAGAGTGGAAGACATGTAAGGTTCTTTCAATTTTCCCTTCTGCGGGGACGGCATTCAGACTTTCAATCTTACGTTCGTCAAGCTGGAAAGTCTTGGGTTTAAATTTTCAATTGTCAATCTTTCATTCTCGTGAACCCAGGTTTTTGTATTCAATTCCAGACTTTAGGCTCAATCATATTTCAATACTTGTAAGGTATAATGTTCTCCAATCCTTGAGCTCCGGCAAACTCGTTTATCTCACAGAGTTTTCGTGGGGAGATAAGGGGGTTAATAGAGAAGGGAAGAAGACTCGAGGTACGCCAACTACTCACCTGCACCAATCATGGCCAGCCCGTCTTGGGCCGAGATTGGTGTACACGGTAGGTTCGCGCCGTGTCGACGTGTCGGCGGCCCCAGCGCGAACGTTCAAGTTTGAGTGCCGTTGGTGGCTTGGAACCGGCCGACATCAATGATCTGCGATATCGGAAACCCGGGATCTCTCAAGGTTGAGCGATCCACTTTGTGTCAGAAAGCAACACGCATTTCGTCGCGACACGGACTTGCCGTATGTCCCCCCTGGCTAAGCCAGGAGGTTGCATCGGGCCTGGCCAGTACCACCCCACGGCCAGCGACGAGGGAGGGCACCAGGCTGGGGTTCGCGGACGGCTCGCCAGCGTCCCTTGGGCCCCACCCTCTTTCGTATGTTCGGCGAAGACGGCACGCACAGGAGGTCCGTGTCGTGTCGACGGCGGCGACGTGAGCGCGGGCGTTCAAGGCTGAACGCCGTTGGGTTGCGTGAGATCGGTTCATATAGAAGGACCTCGGCTGTCAGAATGCCGCGATCATCCAAGGCTGAACGACCCACGGCAGGTGGGCACGATACGGACGTGCCATGCGGTTTAGGCCTTGGTTGAGAACGGCGTCGAGCCAAAAACGAGTTTCGTTTCAGAGCGGTGGCTCTCAGGCAGCTGTGCCTCGCCCAGAACCGCTGAGCGACACGCATTTCAGGGTCC